ATATCTCTAAGTTAGTCCTGGCATTGTTTGGCAAGTTCAATGGGTTCTAATAATAGAAAATACCATATTAAATAGTTTCAGTTATTACTTAAAACTAATTGGGTCGTGATCGTATCGTTCGCCTGTCTCTCACCTTTTGTATTTTGAGGTGCCTATTCACTACTAGATGGATGGTTTTTGTAGCAAATTTTTCTATATCTGTCATCAAACTAAATGATTGTGTTTAAGCTGGAATAAAACTTAAATACTTGTTTAACTCCCAGCTTTAATGAAAATCAGCACGTGAAATGAAATATCTGATGTCAACTAACCATTTTGATCTATACTAATATTATAAAGAGGAAAGATTTGTTTGTTTGTTTGTTTCGAATAGGCTCCGAAACTCAGTAGTTTAGTCAGTAAACTCAGTAGGTCCAGTGACCGATTTCAAAAATTATTTTTCCATTAGAAGCCGACATTGTCCCTGATGAACATAGGCAACTTTTTTTAAAAAAAAATTATTTAATTTTTTTGGTTTCATGTGTGTTTTAATGTTTCCGAAGCGAAGCGAGGGCGGGTCGCTAGTAAATTAATCCGAAAAAATTTAAACTTAAAAATACACAGTAAGTTGTAGAATTTAAATATTTATTGTTCATTAAGTCTAACATAAGATACAAAAATATTTTAAAATAACATAGATTCGAAATGTAACCGTATATTTTGAGAATTACAGCAACATGTTTGTATATTCGGTTGTAATTAAAATCGTAGTTACTTTTTGATGCTTTTTGCTTGTTAACATTTCTGTTATTAACTTAACAAATAAATAAATACAAGTTAGCCATAAAATGATGAATTCATAATGGCTTCAAAATTTTCCAGAATTAAAATAACTAACATTAGCATAGTGTTGATTTGGTCTGTTATTAAAAACTTGCATTTACTTCAAAATTACTTAAATCTATAGTTTAAACCATCACTGCGTACTGTGTGGATTAAATACTTTTGGAACTGGAAAATACCATGAAGATAATGTTATAGCACAATCTCCAAAATAGCGTAGTGTTGCTGTTTTAATCTCCTGTCTTCACATTTATACTGCTTTTTAGGCAATGGCTTAGCTCATTAACGCTCCATTGTCCAATTCTGATATTTACTCAGCAGCAGCCATTGCACGTGCCTGCGCTCTTACTCGCTTGTCATACTCTAGCCGATTTTGACTGTAACAATAAAATTTTATTTAATATTGAGGCATACAAGTTTTGTAGGTCACAGTAATTAAATATTAGTATCACAATATGTGGATAGTTTCATGATATATTTTCAGTAATATAACAAATACATATATTACAAAAAAAATCAATTTTTACAAAATTAAACATTATAAAACATAACAGTTCTTTAAATGCAATACAGGTATTGAAAATGTTTATGTTTAACTTACCAATAAATTGTGTAGGCTTCAGCTTGCGCTGGATCTTTTACGTTAGGCTCATTGAGAAGATCTTGAATACCCAACAAAATTTGCTTTATTGTGATTGCTGGACGCCAATCTTTTTCTTCATCAAGCAGTGACAAGCACACCGTACCTGATGGATACACATTGGGGTGGAACAGTGGTGGTTCAAATTTGCATTTTGGAGGACTTGATGGATAATCATCTTTGAAGATCATACGTAGTTTATACAGCCCACCTTCCCATGGAGTCTAAAAAGAAAAACCGGTTATAGTTTTAGAACTTCTACTACCGTAATTTACTGTGCTTAAACTCAATAACTTTAAAACTGCATCAATAAGAAACAAGAAGTTTTCACGATATAGAAATACTAACCCCCTTTTTACCAGGTATCGCACATTCCCAAGTCATTAAATTCAATGAACCATCTGGATTCTTCATAGGCCTCGCGACAAAACCCTGAAATAGATGAATAGCTTATTTATTTACGAAAACATAAATCAATGTGTTTTCAACAAACAAAAACTTACAAAGGGATGGTCCTTACGCCAAGCTTTCCGTTCTTCAGCTAAACGTGCACTTGCTATCCCTGACATTTTCTACAAAAATAACTCGATTTATGAGCCGAGCTTCAATCAAGGACTATTCTTAATGTTGGGCGATAGATTTTACTTATAATCGAGCTAAAACTAGAACGAAATTACAATAAAAATAAATGAAAAAGCGCGAAATAGCGTCCCTTAATTTCAGAGCGGTCGACAAAATTGTAGTATAGACTACAGATAAAAAATGAAAATAATCGATTCACTTTTTTTTCTTTTCTGCTGTAGGAAGTTAATAGTGTTGCTGTTGACATTTAATATTAATTTAATTTTAGCAGTAAAAACGGATCTTAATAACGACGATAGCCGAAATTCAGTCTAATTAAATGTTTAAAAAAATTACACAAATATTTATGAGCTGTTTTTAAAATGCAATTAATGAAATCGGTGTGAATTTTCTATCTTTTATCTTTTTTTGCAAATGAAGATACCACAATTAAAATTACTTTTGCGACTTAGGAATGACTCCGTGTTAACGAAAATTGTAAGACCAAAATAGGTATTGGACGAAATGGCTAAGGAAGCCGGACACAATGTAATGCGCCTTCCACCCTACTATTGTCAATGCAATGCCATGGAATCTATTTGGGTGCAAATTAAAGGTAATGATTTAAATAAATGTATTTAATAATTTATTTTTACCTATTTTAATATTTTATCTGTTGCTATATTAACACGTAAACCTTTATTTTAGGTTGCGGCTCGTAAAAATATCGGCCCACTTAGGGCCGGATTTAGACTCCGCTCCTGGGCAAAAAATCCGCCCCAATACTGGAATTTTACCAAAACTTATAGTTTATAATTATTTTTTTCAAAATTAAATAATTAATTTATTGCAGAAACTTTATCATATGTTATATATTCCAAAAACATAACTAATATTTGTTTTTTTTCTAACAATTATAAATTTTGCACTAAGGGTGACTCATAAATATTAAATGAAAAAAATAATTAAATTTCTTTAATTCCAGAAAATGGAAAAATCGATTATTATTTTAAATGTTCAAGGAAATAAATTGACTAAATCATTTTGGTTATGAATTTTTACCTAAAGGGCCAAAATTATAATTCACAAATAATGGATGAACTGAATTTGTTGTATTATCAATTAAACAGAAAATTATCAATTATTAGAATTAATTTTAAAAATTTTACTTCCAAAATTTTGCCGCCCTAAAAAATTGTCGCCCTGGGCATTTGCCCCGACTACGCGACTGCCCCTAGTGTAAATCCACCACTGAGCCCACCATTTACTGCAAACAAAATGCTGTCATTGTTGCAAAAAGCTTGTGATAGTGCTACTGCCGCGAATTGGGAAGGTTAGGTTTTACGAACAAAAAATTAGTTTTTCGCTGATTGGAACAGAGACACACATATCGATACCGTCATAGATAACCAAATTATAATAAATACCTTGTGTTTTTATCGCCTGAATCCCACTCCCGACTAGGTATCCTTCTGTCGAGGGTGACATTCCGCCTCCACTTATAGACGGTACGCGACCGTGCCACCTTCAGACTAGGACGCCTCTACTTGATGATATGCAGGCGAAGTAAAATGTCCCTTAGAAATAAGATGACACTCTACAAAACTAGCATACGCCCCGTCATGCAAGTGTAGTGTTCGCTCACGCAGCCCGCACTCGCTTAAAATCATTCCAAGTTATTCAATCCCGTTTTTGCGGGATAGCCGTCGGAGCCCCGTGGTTCGTCAGGAACGTCGACCTCCATGTCGACCTGGACTTAGAGTCCATCAGTATTTGCAGTCGGTGTCGATGCGCCACTTCAATAAAGCGGCACGACACGAGAACCCTCTCATCGTGGCCACTGGTAACTACATTCCCGATCCTGCGGAAAGAATGGAAAGCAGTCGACGTCGCCCCAAACACGTCATTTCGGATTTTCCCGATCCACTAACGGTGCTTTTAGGTACCTCAAGCACCGGTCACCGTTCTCATCGAACCCGTCGCTTGCGACGAAGGGCTCGACGAGTAAATTAAACCTTAGATCAGCCCACTGAGTTTCTCGCCGGATCTTCTCAGTGGGTCGCGTTTCCGATCCGGCGGTAGATTCTGCGAAGCACGGCTCTTACTAGGGTTCGTGTTAGCAACGTCATCAGGCTTGAGCCCCATGAGCTCACCTACTAGTTAAGGCGACGCTGAAATAGCATCTCAAGGCTATCAGCTTAGGTAGGATAAAAAAAAAACGCCTGTATAGAAATATCGATTTCGGCTATTGATGATGAATAAGTTCCATCTTGATAAAAATATCATGTAATATTATCTAACTAAATTTAAAAAACAAAGTTTTATTATTGGATGCTAATCCTTTTTCTGTCAATACGATTTTAATTTGTTCGTTAAAGTAATCGAAGATCAATATCGTCGAGTATCGAATAAAGCGGTATTTACTAGTATTTGATATCTGTTAAATGGGACTTCGTAATTGGAACTCCATGGACATACATACCTAGACTTTTTGGCGGGAACGCGAGGACTGAAGTTGTGTGATTTGTTTTATTTGGTCTATTTAGTGTTTCTTCGGGTTTAAATGTGCAATAACGGTGGTTTATTAACTGTTTAATATCTGTGAAAGTGCACAAATGTGGGAAAATAGAACAAAGTCGCTGGATGTAACTTCTCGGGATCTTCCAAAAAGTCCACTGAAAAAAATCTCAATGAATGACCACCATTTTACTGAGATTACATTTCATTTAATTTCATCCCAGTTGATTAATGTCTCAAATTAATCATCTTCATTTCATTTCATTCACTCCATATTAACATTTTTCATAAAAATAAGAATTTCAATTAAAATAAGACATGACTTAAAGGTCTTAGTTACCAGGTCATAAAACCCCTTAAAAAAAACATACATACCTAGCATAGCACTTGATTGATAAACCTTGAAATTTATGCAAATAAAAGTAGACTTTAAACTTTAAATTTTAGTAAATAGTTAATAATGGCTGATGAAGATGACCCTAAAGAGTATCGATGGGAAACTGGTTATGAAAAAACTTGGTTAGAAAATTAATAGTTGTATTTTTATTATGTTTATTTATTTACGTTTATTTGTTTGTAAATACACAAGGCTAACCTTTCAAAGTGAACTTCTATTTTATTAAAAATCAAAATAGAAACAGTTAACGTTAATGAATCAATTTAAATTATTTTTTTACCTTTTCCTGAAAGACTCGTTAATGTCTTTCATGCATACTATTTAATAGAACATACTATTGTCTGTATTGTTGAATGTGGCTAGAATCTGCAAAATCTTAGCAGTGCAGGACTGGTCGTTTTGGCGTGTCTTAGCCTATATCTAGCAGTCGCCGTCTGCGGGCTGATGATAGATAGATACTGTAATGTGGTAACAGGCAAATGCGATTGCAAAGTAGTCTATTATTATTAATTTTTTTTTATTGCTTAGATGGGTGGACGAGCTCACAGCTCATCTGATGTTAAGTGGTTACTGGAGCCCATAGATATCAACGTAAATGCGCCAACCACCTTGAGACATAAGTTCTAAGGTTTCAGGTATAGTTAGGCTGCCCCACCCTTCAAACCGAAATGCATTACTGCTTCACGGCAGAAATAAGCAGGGTGGTGGTACCTACCCGCGCGGACTCTCAAGAGGTCCTACCACCAGTAATAACAGTTATACAGAGAGCCTATTTTTTTATTTTGCTAAACTACAGATAAACTAAATAAAACCTGTTCAGATATTCATAAACACGACGAGCGATCATCTTGGGCCATCATTACAAATTCAATGAGTCCTACACACAGCAAATTACTAGAAATCTTTAACTTTAACCTTACGATTTCACCTTATTCTAAAAAATAATTAATATATATTAGAAAAATATTGTATAAGTACAAGTTTGTTTTTGAAAATTCTTCATAATACTTTAATGTACTCTGATTACTCTTTAGTTTTACAGTTTTTAACTTATATGTTATGTGTCTATTGAATCATAAATTAAATATTTATGTGTAGGGAGGCTATTAAAGAAGATGAAGATGGATTGGTTGAAAGCCTGGTGGCTGAATTTGCCCAGAAAGCAGCACGTAAAGCAGCTGCTCCTCGTAAGGGTCCAGTCAGACTTGGCATGATGAGGCATTTACTTTTAGCCATAGATTGTTCTGAGGCTATGAGCTCCCAAGATTTGAAACCTTCACGGTTTCTGTGCACATTGAAGGTAAAGAAATATCTTTTACCTTCATAAACTGCTAGAGGCTGAGCTGTATGCTATCAAGTACTTTAAAGTTTATTAGATATACCTGGTGTCTTTGTATTGTAACTACCATTTGAGTAGAAGCATAAAGGTCGGAAGTTGACATCCAGATATCATGGCTAACACTTCATATGCAGTGGCCATTGGCTAACTCTGTAGCTTGATTAATTGTATTCAGTTCATTTCAATAGAGATGAATGTCTCCATTCTTTTTTGCAATACGGACAACTGGAGTAGTTTACTCAGAAAAGTTACAAAGCAGTCCTTCAGTGTTTAACCAATTGATTTTGTTTTCTGTCGTATTTCTATATCTATATAACTATAATTACTTGTATACCATCGATGCTTTTGTTTTGTCAGCTGGCTGTTTTTTTTTGCATTCAATTTGTAAATACTATAATAATATTTAACAGTGTTTGAACTTCATCATGGGCATAGTTAATATTCTTTGCAGATAGACAGCATAGGCCATGATATAACAGCTCCATGGTCACAAATGCTTGTGAGATGTAGGGTGTGCCCCCATCAACGAGAAGAAATCATGTTCTAATGAAGCTATTAATACAATTTAATTTAATAAGTTTAACCTGTGTATATTTCTAGTTGCTCGAGAAATTTGTTGAAGAGTTTTTTGACCAGAATCCGCTCAGTCAGCTTGGTTTAATAGCAATGAAGAATAAGAGAGCTGAGAAAATAACTGACCTATCTGGAAATGTCCGGAAACATATTAAAGCCATACAAGGGCAAGTATTTTTTTAAATTATTGTTGTATTTATTAATTTTAATATATTACTTTTATTAACTTGACATAGTTTTATAGAAAAATGATAGAAAAATCAATTAAATATAGTAATGTCATAAAAACAAAAGCTTTTAGTTATTTGAAAAAATAAAACAAAAAGTTCTCTAAACAGTTTATCCAACACTCCGCTGACTGGAGAGCCATCATTACAAAATACGCTAGAGCTGGCTGGGCGAATCTTAAGGCCTCTGCCTGGACACGCGTCAAGAGAATTACTAGTGCTTTTCGCATCCCTTACAACTTGTGATCCAAGTGATATAAACACTACCATAGAAGTAAGACAGTTTTAATTATTGAAATGCCTTATTTTACTTTTGTTGATCACCACAGATTTGTTAAAATAGAAATCTGTAAAGATATTTAACATGGTTCCACGACACTCCATAAAGCTCAGTTTTTGTTTAGCTTTAACAAGTTCTTTGCATTGCTGATATCCAATGGTGACCTGCGCCATTGATGATCAATTGAGACATAGACTTCTCCACTTTATATGGCAAGTAATACTAATAATGTTGTGTTAGCATTTTAAATCCAAAACTTAGTATTTCAATGAAAGTTTTGTAGTTTCAATAACCTAAAATAAACTAGACTGTGAGATAATATTTATTTATTAGATTAAATATTTAATTATTTTTATCTTTTTGTAGACACTAAAAACAGATGGAATTAGATGTTCTGTTATTGGTCTAGCTGCTGAAGTGCGGATTTGCAAAAAAATGTGTCAAGACACTAATGGAGATTATGGTGTAAGCTATTCTCTATTGATAATAATATCGCAGTTTCGCTTTTGTATGTAAGCATTGTTATTAAAAAGAGCTTATTTAAGACTGCTTTTACTTTTTAACTAGCCGCTAAGGACTCTTTTTCTGTCCCACTATTTGATATAAAATGTTATAGTTACGGAATTCCTTATTGATTTTGTGATAGAATATGACTTGTAGAAATTGTCACGCAAGAAAAAAGTCCTCCATGCTACTTTACTCTTTCTCTTTATTTCTTCCTGTGAGACTGCGGTTGTTGTTCTGTGTACGCGCATGTGGACGTGCGTTTATCGAGATTCCATTAGAAGAGTATTATGCGAGACCGATTGAATAACCTCAATATTTTATTTACCATTTTTCTAAAATAATTATGTATGTACCTAATATAAAAAATTAAAAAACTAATATTTTTTCTTAAAATAATAAATGTAACTTTTTGTTATTAAGTATTTATTTATTTTAATCATACTTATTGTACACAAAAAAGAAAATACAATAAAAACAGATTTCAAAGAATGTCTAAATACTATGTACCTACAAAGGCGAGCTTAACTCATTCATGAGTTCTCTTCCAGCAAACCATTAGCAGAGAGAAATACGATGCATAAGAGGGGAAAAGTGTACAATTTAAAAGGTATTAAAGCATGACTGTTAAACTAAGGTTTAAAAAAAAAGTACATACATAGTTCTTTTATTTACTTCTTTAATTTTTTTTTTGTTTGTTAGAAAGGTAATTTTGCTAACATAAAACGCTGTATGTTTTTAGGTGGTATTAGACGATTGTCACTACCAGTCACTGCTACTAGAGTACACGTCGCCGCCGCCCCGCGCCCGCTCGTTGGACGCGGGCCTGGTGAAGATGGGCTTCCCGCATTCAACGCCGCTCGAGGAACAAGCCGACCCAGGGGCTAATGTCGATCCACCTATTACTGTTTGTATGTGGTGAGTTCCGTGTCTTGCTTAAATTTTAAAACTTGAGAAAGAACGAAAGAAACGCTTAGCGAAAATCTAAACTTTCATGAAATGCGTTTGTCTGTAGTATTATAATTTTTCTTTGTTGCCTAAATGTGTGGATGAGCTCACAGCCCACCTGGTGTTAAGTGGTTACCGGAGCCCATAGACATTTACAACGTAAATGCCGCCCCCCACCTTGAGATATGAGTTTTAAGGTCTCAGTATAGTTACAACGGCTGCCCCACCCTTCAAACCGAAACGCATTATTGCTTCACGGCAGAAATAGGCGGGATGGTGGTACCTACCCGTTCGGACCCACAAGAGGTCATACCATCAGTAATTACGCAAATTATAATTTTGCGGGTTTGATTTTTATTACACGATGTTATTCCTTCACGTATTGAAGTGAAACTTCTAATGCGACTTCCAACAAGGTTGCGTTAAACGTTTAACGCTACCATGGAATAGAAAGAGACAGAACGAGAGTAAATACGTGGCACTCGAACGCATGTGGTATACCTGCTACAGCCAGGGTGTTAGCAACGACTAGCGTCTAATATTTTAATGGAGTATTTAAAAAAAATACATAAATACATATATCTTTTTCTACCTATAATTTAAAAAATATATAATATAAATGTTGAAGATGTCGCATCTCTTATACATAGCGTTCCCTATTACAAGAAAAATCTGATTTAAGGATGAAAAATGAAGAAAAACACAATACTGCGCATCGAAAAAAAAGTTTCACTTCATTCACATGCACCAAGTTGCACGCGTACCGTTTTTTTTTTTTTTTTAAACTTATTTTTGTTCAGTCATTTAGAGGAAGGCGAAGGTATAGGCGGCGAGGGTCACCTGTGTCCGCAGTGCCGCTCCAAGTATTGTTCGTTGCCAGCTCAATGTCGCACCTGCGGCCTGACACTCGCATCAGCACCACATCTTGCAAGGTACATCTGTCAAACGACCCCTTTCTTCAAACGATATTTGTTTTTAGGAGATAAGGTCTTATATTGCTGTAGATGAGCACAGAAGATCATGCCCCCCCCACCCCCCGGTCACAGGTAAATTAACACAATAGACACAGCCCACTGAGTTTTTCGCCGGGTCTTCTCAGTGGGTCGCGTTTCCGATCCGGTGGTAGATTCTGCGAAGCACGGCTCTTGCTACGGCCAGTGTTAGTTCGGCCGTAGTAGTATAGTTTCTCCCCCTATACTTCCCTTACCGAGTGGTTCGAACACCGATATACTGACCGGAGGACACCCAAGTATATTCTAGCTTTGAATTTGAAAATGCTCTGCAGCATATTTACATAGCAAACTTATAATTTTTTGCAGGTTCCATTTTATTCGTATTTCTAATTATAAATCAATTTTCATAATTTATAATCTTATTGTAGATCATACCATCACCTGTTTCCAGTGGAACCGTATGAAGAATTAGATAATGATGGCCAGGCGCAGTATTGTTTTGGATGCTTAAGAACCTTCACCGATATAGACAAGAAGGTATGTTACATGTCTCACATTTTTTATCTGCCTTTACTTTAAATAGTCTGCATGTTTGGCTTTTTAACGTAATTGTATAATTTCTAAAATAAATTTTTCATACCGAGCATTCATTAACGACGAAAAAAAACTTGCGTGTGTGTGTAGAAGTTATTCTATGAGCAATAGAGTCGATTTTTTAATATATAAATTTTTGTTTGTAGATACATCGTTGTCCCCGATGTAAAGAGTACTACTGCTGGGAGTGCGAGGGCGCGGTGACGGCCACGCTGCACGTGTGTCCCGGCTGCGCCACCAGACCTCATTTGTACCAGCGGCTACCAAGCACGACCTCATCGTAATAAATGAATTAATAAATGAATTAATAAATGAATAAATGAATGAACACTTGTTGTATTATTTTTCGTGCAATTAATTTATTGTAATATATAATAACCATCGCAAAGGGACTTTTTTGAAGTGAAACTTCTTTAGGCGCGTTGAGAGTAAAATTTAACTCGCGACAGATTCGTTACGGTTAGAGAGAAAAGATACAATTTAGGACGAGTGAGAGTGAGAAATTAGACAGACCGTCTCGCGAACCACTCGACCCTGGAGAGGGAAATGACAAAGCGAGCTAGGTCGTTTCTCGTATATAAAGCATTCTCTATTACAAGAGAAATTCGATTTAAGGATGAAAAATGAAGAAAATAATACTAAACAGAAGTTTCACTTCTTGCACGAGCACCATTTTTTTTGCGATTGATTACGTGTATTGTGCGGAAATGTGTAATCGCATATCGGGAGAAGATCGCGTTGGTCAAATTAATATCAACTCATTCACCGGTGCGTCGTTCAGTCGGCGTTTGTTTCGCATGAAACGAGCTCAATAAACGCTAACAATTGAATATTATTTGGTAAGAAAAATAGAGGAAAGTGGTGGAAGACAAAGGAGACAAGTGTCAACGTTCGTTCCCTTCGCCTTAGAATCATTCATATTAAACTAATATTACATCGATATATTACCACATATTATTACCATGTGGTAATATATCGATGTAATATTATGAACGTCAAAGTGTCGTTTCACGTCCAAACGAAGCAACGGATTGTCATAAAAGGATAGTTTTAGATCAGCAGTGCCAATTTTTATCCTGAAAATATATGTCATTCCCACGGGAAACTGTTTTATTATCTTTAGAAAAATGACGTGAGACTAGAAAAAAAAAACGCTTTTCCTTGACATCGCGAAGCTGCGAGTAAAACCTTGTGATCTTTATTTATTTAGGTACTACTGGAGCCTATAGACATCTACAACGTAAATGCGCCACCCACTTTGAAATATAAGTTCTAAGATCTCAGTATAGTTACAACGGCTGCCCCACCCTTCAAACCGAAACGCATTACTGCTTTACGGCAGAAATAGGCAGGGTGGTGGTACCTACCCGCGCGGACACACAAGAGGTCCTACCACCAGTAAATTGTTGCGATATTTGTTTGTATTAGCAATGGTCTTTACATTTCGCCATGTTGTCCAAAATTTGAAATGTGTTCAGTGGAAGTCCGAGCTGATCTATTTTTATAGCGGTCGATGTATACGGCACAACTGATAGCGTGTAGCTTAATTCCGCTCGTGGACATCGGCAGTATAAGAGGCTCAGTCATTCCGCTATCTACCCTTGCATGTCTTAATCTACGTTACACCTCTTGTGCCGGCGCATCCATAATTCCCGGAAAACTAACTAATCGCTCACTACTATACTTGCCATAGAATACATGTGCCAAGACAATATGGGAGCTTCTTGTCTCCTAGTATTTCCGCGCTGAGCAGGCCTAACAGACTAAATGAGAGATTTCAAATTTTTATAATAATTTAACGCCAACATCAGTCAGAGCTGGCCGCGACAAAGAGCCTACAGTAAGGGGCACTGACGCAAAATAATAGTTCCATTTTACGAAAAGTTTTACGTCGCTAGATTTAAGTGGGTTGATATCATACTTTAGTCCTTAACCTTTGATTGATAAGATAACTAAACATTAGTTCATATTGAATGTTATCGTAGACATAAACACGATAGTAATTTTATTGTGATATGTATTTTAATTTTGACATCATGTATCTGTTGTTGATAATTTCTATAAATAGTCTTTTTACTGGTGGTAGGACCTCTTGTGAGTCCGTACGGGTAGGTACCACCTCCCTGTCTATTTCAGCCGTGAAGCAGTAATGCGTTTCGGTTTGAAGGGTGGGGCAGCCGTTGTAACTACATTGAGACCTTAGAACTTATCTCAAGGTGCGTGGCGCATTTACGTTGTAGATGTCTATGGGTTCCAGTAACCACTTATCACCAGGTGGGCTGTGAGCTCGACCACTCACCTAATCAACAAAAAAAATATATTGAAAATTATATAAATCAAAATTTGATGGAGGTAAATTTCTCGTAAGTTGTGAAAATAAAAAATATGCATGGTAAATTAATTTAATACTTTTATTCAAATCTTTGTAACATTCGAATAACTTGTGTCATAGAAGATTCATTGTCAATAATACTACTTACAGTATAAAGTTGTGCTTCGGTACATAATACAGTAGGACAACGTTACTGATTTAATCACAGATACACGTCTTTAAATGCCTTTACATACAAAATTATATATTTTACTATATTTTTGGTGTTACACACGTACCTATAAGTTTATCAACATATTTTTTTCCATTCATATGTAAAATCGTAGAGATATCACAAAATATATAGTTAATATATCATGGACATAATATATAATGATGTAAGATCATAATCTTATTTCTATGAATTTAAACGTTTTATGTTCCATCATTTATGTGCGTTATGCAATATAAGTTTCGCTGATAAGTTATCTCAAGCTTTAGATGCAAATGTATATATCAACACACAAATATCTAAAAATGTATACTTTGCTATTCCCAAATAATGTTGTAGGTATTTCTTTGCCACAGATTTGCTGATAAGCTCTCTTATCTAGTGTAAGTTTTTACTGGAACTTCAAATGTTTGTCAACTTATTTTTAGGTCAAATAGGGTGATAAGGTCACGCCTTTTATAAAGCGCATAGAGATCATAATCTGAATTCCGTTGTTCACCTTCAGACTAGAGACACAAGGTCGAAGTCGTTATTGCATAGGATTAATTTAACAATTCCTTTGCAGAAATAGGACTGTGGTTCTGGCCCTTGTGGCCTTTCAACATGCCCTACAACTGAAAATTACGCAAATCAGCTTGCGGTTTTAATTTCACTAAACCATGTATTTTGTAATACACTCGATACGTATTTACGTCAAAATATTAATTAATTTAATTAACAAGGCACATTATAGAATACAACATATCGTCTTTTCGCATTAAAAGTGCACTATTTCCAAAGATATTCGAACTTGAATTAATATGCGGTATCATTTGGTATCACCAGTATTTTTCTTATAAATACTGTCAATAAAGCGTAGTTTAGTTTTAGTTTTTTTTTAGTTTACCTATGTTTTGACTACTATTCCCAAAATTAACACATAATTTTATCTTACTTTAAAAGACAGATAATGTAACTGGTAAAAAAAAAAATAACTGTTGCAAAGATGATTAATATTAAAAATATCACATTTTAAACCTTTTAAACACTCTCCTGTAAAATTAGTAAGTTTTGAGATTATTATACAGTTTTAATGCGAGAAGACCATATAATATTCTTTAAGGTCACGGCGGCAAATAAACATATGCCACGATTTATATATTTATGTAAGTTAATGACATATCACTGCGGTTATGTTTATCACAACAAATATATATTTTTAAGTACCTACAATAATATGTCAAATAACATATTTCAATCACAGTTTATTTAACTAATAAACAATGGCTCAGACGTTTTGACTACCAGTTGTTTTTTTACGAGACAGCCACAATATGTTCGGCTTTTGATAATACTGTTCTATTTGTAAAAGAGATTTCCCTTTCGTCTCTGGTAATAAAAGGAAAAGTAGAATTGTGGCAAGAGCAGCGGAAATACCGAAGAAACCAAAGACAGCCGCTATTCCTATATTCTTCATCATCGCAGGGTAAAGTTTGGTAAAACCAAAAAGGAATGAATTAAAGAAACAGAAAATATAGCCTCCGCAGAGCCCACGGACTTTGGTGGGCAGTAGTTCGCCTATCATAAGCCCCGGCAGTACAAAGAATCCTAACGTATTGAAGCCAACGTATGCGAGGATCAGGACTGGCGGCGCGATGCCTGTACCGGGGCCTTGCGCGAGCAGGGCGGCCAACGCCAGAGTACAGACAGAAGTTCCAATGCCAGAAATCATGACGAGTGTCCGACGAGTGAGCCGCAGTAACAAGATGCAAGCGAGGATCGTCACTGCTAACCTTACTAAAGCGCTTGCGTTGGCTGCCATCTAAAACAGAAATATTTTTAATACGCTTTTATTAGGCTTTTATCAGACGTATGTATGTTAGTATGCAACGGAATCTTTGAACATGATTTTGAACCCCTTCAAAACGTCGGATTAACTCGAAATTCGATATACTTATTAAGGACCGATGACAATTTAATATTAAAAAAATTGAACGCTTTTTTACAATAAAATAATTTTTTCTTACACTATTTTTAATCCAAATTTATTTTCTATTTTTTAGTTGGATTTTCTATAAAAGCGTAATTTGTTAGTTTTTTATACTATTATTTATTCAAAGTTTAGTTTGAAGATTTTAGCAACCAGAAGATTGTTTGAATTATCGCTAATCCTATTCTCATGGATTTTTGAACCTCAGAGGGACTTCAATTCTCCTTGTATTATTGGCTTCGTCTTCTTTCCTTACTCTTTGCTGAACGATATGAGCGCTATATTCTTTTTCCAATGATGTTTGAGAAGTTTTCGCCGGATGGTAGCGGCTCATCCAGATCCTCGTGTTGATTATGATGACGAGGTAGGTATGCTCATTTGTTTATTAATTAAACACAAAAAGAGACGGAATATAAGGCTATAACGGAAGTAAACAAAATATAACTATTATCTACCTATTCAATTGGACTAAACCTGGTGGTTTTAGTTGTATTGCAATGGTAATGAAGCATCGCCAATATTTAGTTAACCACATAATAGCTTTATTAACATTTATCATTTATTTGAACATTATAGGTAGTTGTTGTATTTCCTTATAAATAATATTATTCATCCATAAAGTAATAATTGTTTCTAATTAGCATACAAAATTGATTGACTAATTGATAGACTAATATTGATATTAGTATGGTGTCAGATGAGGAGGCTGCGTTTACATCTACAATACTGTAAATTGTGAGCACCGATAAAAATCTTCATGTGATGTACCTACCTGAACTACACAGTATTTAGAAAACTTAAAAAAAGTCATGATTTCAGGTTTCAAGCCTGTGAGTTTTTTAATGTTTTTTTTTTATATGAGTTGAATTTATTGTATAGAATGTGTGACAAACAATTATTTTTTAAGTATATTTATAATTTAGAAGTGCATCTCAATTGAGGAAAAATAACTACACTAGAATTTAAAACTGCCTCTCAAGATGATTATACTACGGAAAAACGTATCCGTTTCTTATTAACCACAAACAAGTTATTAAACAAACTGGAATTGAAAATGTTAATTATTTCGTGAAAATCAGGTGATTGTCATAAAATTTACTTATAACTTGTCTAGAGCCAGTTACTCTGCTGACATTTTATTGCATACATAATATTACAGAGTAGAATAATTGAGACTAATACCTACTTCTCTGCTTCAATTATTATTTAAAAGGTCAATTACTATTTTTTTCAAACCGAAACGCTTTACTGCTTCACGGCAGAAACAGGCAGGGCGGTGCTGCCTACCCGTGCCGATTCACAATAGATCCTACCAACAGTAAAACTATTACAATACTACTACTTACTACTACAATACCTAATATTTTTTTCTGTGATTACTTCGGAATTTTTTTGTTTATATCCAAAATAAACGGATGACTTAATGGCCCACCTTAAGACATTATTTGTTAGTTGATGACTTCGTTGAAATAGGCATTAATTGTGTATTGAAGTACCTATAAAGTTGCCGTTTAGTACACTGAAACTTGACCATTTTAGAATCCATGCACCCATGCCGACCCATGATATCGACGCATCTCTGCCAGCGTAAGTAGTGGTCAGTTTTCAATGCCCTTTTTGAAGAAGTCAGTTGTAACGGAGTGAACCTATCTTCAAAGGCATTTTCCACTACCTGCCTCTCGGGTATAGAATTTTTTCCTGTCAAGAAGTTGCCCAAACTTTGGAAACGATAGGGAAGTCGGCGCAAGGTCTGATGCGTGCAACACTTCCAACCCTAGCTCTTGTAGCTGTCGTGAAGCAGTAATGCGTTTCGGTTTGAAGGGTGAGGCAGCCTTTGTAACTATACTGAGATCTTAGAACTTATATCTCAAGGTGGATGGCGTATTTACGTTGTAGATGTCTATGGGCTTCAGTAACCACTTAACACCAGGTGGGCTGTGAGCTCGTTCACCTATCTAAGCATTAAAAAAAAGGAGACCATCTATTATGCCGTATGAGTCGTGCGTTCGTATGTAGTGTTCACTCCGTACACATTATTAAAGTTTTGAGCAATTTGTGGAGCATTGCTACCACGAACTTGAATAACATGATTGCTCGTATTTTTATCGTGTCCATATTGATGAATAAACGACAAATGTAGTGAAAACAAAACAATAATAAGTGACTGAATTTGAAGCTATTATTCTATATTTTTAAAATAAAATTAATTTGAATTTAGAATTTATTGGCAGCCATTCATAAATTACGTATTGTAAAACGGCAACTTCATAGGTAAAGAGTTATTAATTACATGTGTTATCGAGAATTAGATTGTTGGGAATTGTAAGGAAGACAAAGTCGAAGATTAATACATGGTCGTTCCGACTATTATCTTTTGGCGTAGAATATACCTAGTTGATAATTTAACGTTGTAAAATATAGTTTCCTATGTTATTTTAGATCGAGGAACAGATTACTTGAAGATGAGTGTGGTTGTTAGTGGATGAGAGTGATTATTAAAGTTCAATTCATGGAAGTTAAGTAGAAATGCCACAGGTAACGACTTAATAGGATTCACGGTACGTTGGAGACAATGATTAGAATCGCCAATTATTTACTATTTTGCAATATTTTTTCAAAGTCACAAAGATGTCGCAGCCGTCTTGTATTCACTGAGCAATTGTTAAGTATTATATATCGACGGTCTATTGCTCAGTAATTTCAGCAATTATATTGTATGTTTTTAAATTCGAGCAAATTATTATAAAGTCGTAAAATATCAAAGTAGCTATTAGCTGAGCTTTTGATAATTCGCTTGCTTATAGTGCACTTATTTATTGAAGTTCAGACTCACCTCAGGCGGCAGAGAGCCGCCGGCTTCTTCAACAATTTTGATGGCATAAAATATAACGACATAACTTCCTGACAGGATCTGCAGTAAGTTGAACGTGTTGATCAGAATCAGTGGTTTCAACACAGGAGATCGAATGACAGTTGCGAAGAATTTGATATTCTCTTCCCCTCGCGCTTTCTCCTTCTCCCGACATGATATTAATTCATGGAGTTCTCGTTGTGCCTGTTTCAATCAATTAATTGTATCAGTTCTTCTAAATTGATGAAGATGGGTGGATTAGATAAGATAAGGTACTATACTATAAGTAATATACTATAAGTAAGGTAACTATACCTGAGACCTTAGAACTTTTGTCTCAAGGTGGGTGGCGCATTTACGTCGTAGATGTCTATGGGGTCCAGTAACCACTTAAGAACAGGTGGACCGTGAGCTCGTCCACCTATCTAAGCAAAAAAAAGAAAGATAAGATAGATAAGATATTAACGAATCTGATCTAAAAATATTTCAACAGCCTGCTACGGGAATATAGACTTTTTGACCGGTTACTTATTACTTTTAAATAAAGACAGAGCAACATTGCCTGTCTAATTTACGTAAATGATGAGAAAGGATGTATATTAAGAATATTACAACAACGAGCTTGTCATGTGATGCATGTATCCAGTTGAAGAGCGTAAATTAAATGTCAACTTCACTTATTGTCCTCTATAAGTATCTCAGTACTTGAATAAAGTACAGTAGGGACGTACATATAATTTAAAATCGTGACCAAAAAAAAAAAAAACTACGAATCATTTTAACTTACCACAGGTTTTGGTATTTTTGGAGAAGTAATTTTGGCAATTCTGTTTTTACGGATACGGTACTTAATTTTTGTAATTTTATTTGTCTTTAAAGCGATAATAAGTTTCTGAACCATCTAAATTAATAAATTATTGCATAGGAATAACGATAAGTTTCCCAATTTTTTTTTATTTTTATTGCTTTGATGTGTGGACGAGCTCACAGCCCACCTGGTGTTAAGTGGTTACTGGAGCCCATAGACATCTACAACGTAAATGCGCCACACACCTTGAGATATAGTTCTAAGGTCTCAGTATAGTCACAACGGCTGTCCCACCCTTCAAACCGAAACGCATTACTGCTTCACGGCAGAAATAGGCGGGGCGGTGGTACCTACCCGTGCGGACTCACANCACACACCTTGAGATATAGTTCTAAGGTCTCAGTATAGTCACAACGGCTGTCCCACCCTTCAAACCGAAACGCATTACTGCTTCACGGCAGAAATAGGCGGGGCGGTGGTACCTACCCGTGCGGACTCACAAGAGGTCCTACCACCAGTAAACTTTGTTATTGATTCTACTGTAATGTGCGAGTGAAATGTATTTTATATTATAAGTGCAGTCAAAAATATATAATGATTGTGTAGATGTACCTACATTTACTGTTTGCTCATAAAAAACTACACGGATGGTAATTGTTTGTATTTGTTTTGACAAGGCTTGGACAATAAAATGTCACATCAATTGTCTTGCTCCTCCTCCTTAGTTGAGCTCATTTAGAGTTCAATTATATAAATAATATCGCACGAAGTTCTCGAACCATCGATTTTATGACAATATATGGCGAGTCTGATGTTTATTGTTTTTTTAAACGAGGTTCACGCTATCTCTTGAGTGCTTACTGTTGCTTTTTCGTAGTGAACTAGTGAACTCTGAGGTCGAAATTGTGACAAGACACTCGTAACGTGATCAAATATTTTAAACATCTTAATGTGATTTAACAATGAAAGAACAGAATGGATATGATTTTAAAAGTTGTACGTTAATCTATTAAAAAACGTACGTACGTAAAAGTTAATCTACTTCATGTATGTAGCTCGTGACGTGATCAAATATTTTAAACATCAAAATGTGATTTTAACAATGAAAGAATAGAATGGATGTGATTCTAAAAGTTGTACGTTAATATATTAAAAACGGGCATACGTAAAAGTTGATCTACTTCAAGCAACTGGCTCACGACCCAGTTACTAGAGCCCATAGACGAGAAGGTCAATGATGCTATCCACCTTGAGGCATGAGACTTTTAATTGTATTGTATAACTGCTGTCCCACCCTTAAAAACCGGAATATATAACTGGTTCGCGGCAGACATGATGTGATGTTCATACGTGCTTATAATACTCAGAACTAATTACGCAAATTTATAAAATTTATAGATAAGACTTTTAAACTATGTTCTTCTTGATGACCATTGTAATCGTTCGGCCCATATTAGCCTTGTTGACACACGGTTTTTTATTTGCTTGACCTATATCTATCTATGCAGCGGAATCTTGCGACGTAATTTTCAGCTACAATTAACTTAAAAAATGCACACATAATTATGATGGACCGCGTGATAGAACAACAGAATGATTTCATTACTATGTCCAAATATCCTCACCGGGAAAAAATATTATTTTTATTTTTAGTTTCGTTTGCTATTGAAGACTGTTTTTTAGTTTTTAATTACACAATTTAGACCGAGTTTCATTGTACTGCATAATGACTGCATTATTTTATAGATTTAGGTCTATCTTTAAGCATGTACCAGTTACTTTTGAATGTTTTAATGAAAACGCTTCGCTTAAGTTGACCTACAAAGTATAAAATATTTTATACCACGCATCACTGAATCACTAAAATGTTATTGACACTTCTTAGTGGAATCGGAATAATAACGTCATCTTTTGTTTCACGGAGATTTTTCTGAAATCGATTGCCGATATCAAAGAACAAACCCACACATTGTAACTATTCCTATGTTACTCCATATTATGTAACAAGAATATAACACACATAGTGACACTTCTTAGTAGAGTATCTTTTGTTTCACGGAACCATTTCTGAAATCGATTTCCGATATCAAAGAACAAACAAACACATTGAAACTATTCTTATGTTACTCCGTATTAGGTATTAAGAATATAACACACACAGACAAATAATATAATAAACAGCTTACCGTTTCAGTAGTGCCTCGGAGTCGTGACATCGCTGCCATGGCCTCGTGGAATCTTCCTCTTCTAGCCAACCATGTCGGACTTTCCGGAGAGAAGCATAGAGCAATAAATGCTAATATTGGGAGTACAGTGGAGAGATATGCAACGGACCTCCAACTAAGGGGACCGCCCAGGGTGTAAACGTACAACACTCCAAGAGAATATGCAACGAACGGAGTTCCAATTAGTAGACCTCGTAATCTGGGCTCAGATATTTCACCCAAATAGACCTGAGGAAAGAAATTTATATTCTTATAAAAAGTCTGATATGTTAAATGAGTTTATTATTAATTGCGTTTCTTTCAATAAAATTTATTTCTCCTTCCTTCTCTTACAAGTGGTAGGTACCACCACCCCGCCTATTTCTACCGTGAAGCAGTAATGCGTTTCGGTTTGAAGGGTGAGACAGCCGTTGTAACTATATTTGAGACCTTAGAACTTATATCTCAAGGTGGGTGGCGCATTTATGTCGTAGATGTCTATGGGCTCCAGTAACCACTTAACACTAAGTGGGCTGTGAGTTCGTCCACCCATATATGCAATAAAAAAACCCATAAAATTAAAATATATAGTTAATTGATTATTTTATGTTTAATAACCTGTGACGGAGCGGCCATGAGGCCTACAGCGAAGCCACAGACAATTCTACCAAGGAGCAATAAAGCGTGATGCGACGCAGTTCCTATTATGATCCACCCAACGACCAGCGGGACGGTGCAGGACTGTAGCGTCCGCCGCCGCCCGATGGCTTCCATCACCGGACCTGACACCATCGAGCCGAGAGGGGTAGCTGCCGAGTGGATACTGGCTACAACAACAAATAATTGTTTCGTAATTATTATAATTTTTATTGTTTAGACAGGTGAACTGAACGAGCTTATGGGTCACTTGGTTAAGTGGTTACCAGATATAGTACCAGTGGATAGAACGTATAATTGTCTCATATGACGGCTGTCCCACCTTTCAAACTGGAATGAATGATTGCTTCGTGGCAGAAATAGGCAGGACAAGGGATGCGGGCTTACAATACCCCATATCACCAATAAAAGTATCTACAGTAGTCAGCCCTATCTTAATTATATCTATAACGAAATAGCTATTGGCAGATACTTGGCATTTTTGGGGCCTCTTGTCCAGTCCGTCCACATTACTTCAGTGTGTTTGGTGTATACGATTATTTGAATGATTTGCTATAACAGTAAATGGGGGTAAGGCCTAGGGTAGAAAGAAACGTGTAAGCAGCCAGTCCTCCAAATCGCCTCATACTGATACTCATTGAGAGCTCGTTTGGTAGGTAAATATTTAACTTTATTCAATTAAGCTACAATTTGAATCTTGATAGTCTAATCATGATATCGCAATCATAATATCAGTAAAATTAAAATTTGAAACGTTTCACAAACAAAAAACAGTGAACTTTGCTATAAATTCGAGGATAATAATTGTCGTTGTCGCTAGTTTAAAAATTATTTATACTCTTTATTTTAAGAATTTTTATAATAAGAGTGGTGGCTGAAAGCATAAAATCACCAGCGAACTCGTATCACTTACAGGCATCGCGTTCTCATCCCCAGACAGGTACCAGTTATTGTAATGAAATACGTACTCAACAAATGTTCACGATTGACTTCCACGGTGATGAATAATATCGTGTAATAAAAATGAAACCCGCAAAAATATAATTTGCGTAATTACTGGTGGTAGGACCTCTTGTGAGTCCGCGCGGGTGGGTACCACCACCTTGCTTATTTCTGCCGTGAAGCAGTGATGCGTTTCGGTTTGAAGGGTGGGGCAGCCGTTGTAACTATACTTGAGACCTTAGAACTTACCTAGTCAGGTCATAAGTATTGTCACACAGTAAAAACTTTTCTTTTAGAATGCTGGCCACAAAAAAGCTTATTGAATTCGAATTACGAATTGTTCATGAAAATAAAAATGTATACTTTTAGAATTTTACTCTTTTTTAAATATGGAGTGGACGCTTAAAGAAGACCGTGTTGCAGTTATTGCGTCGCATCGTTGCGGTTACGCGCCAATTCAAATTTTTAACATACTGAAAAATTTGAATATAACCAAAAGATTCGTTTATCGTACCATCAAACGATACAATGAAGACTCTAGTGTAGATGACAGGTCAAGAAGTGGTCGCCCTCGGTCTGTTAGGACTCCAGNGGTAGTCGTTCTGCGGGGCAAGTGCTTCGCGCGCCTTTTTCAAGGCGTAGTCTCTTGCGAGGAATTCGGGGAGGTGGAGGACCTTCTCGTCCCCCTCTTCCTCTCAGGAGGCGCCGGAGTCCGACATAACCCGGTTCGTTACCCCCCCGGACCGGGTATCCGTAAATGGATTCCCCAGCGTTAAAAAAAAAAAAAAAAGGTACCAGTTATTATAATGAAATACGTACCTAACATACTCGTATGTTCATGAATGAATTACACGGTGAAAGAATAACATGGTGTAATAAAAATCATACCCGCAGGATATTATTTCTGTCATTAGGCCTATCGTGCCTGTCGTGCCTATCGTGATAGGCCGTTTTGTCCATCCGCACGGTTATGTACCGCCCTGTCTATTTCTGCCGCGAAGTAGTAATGCGTTCCGGTTTGATAGGTGTGCGGGGCCTTGTCTTCGTAAGAGCTCTTCACGCACAGAAAATGTTCTGCTTCATCTTATTTGGGTTAACCGTTGATCAATAATAGTCACCGAACGCCTTGTAATGGTGTTTCAGTATGAATGCCCTTTATAAATTTAGCGTGGCAACCCTGAAATGGCGTGGCAGCTGTTTATTCCGATTATTACAAATGGAGCGAGCTTTACGAAAGAACAACGCGGTCTAATTGTAAAAACTTATTACGAAAATTTGGTAAGTTATGCTGAGACCACTTGCAAACTTTGAAGAACTTTCAGTCGAGAAAGTGCACCTAATGTGTCAACCATTCGAAGAGTGGTAAAAAAATTGAAGAAACTGGGTCAGCTATGGATAGTAAGACTACTGTGCGTCAACATACCGGTCGGTCTCTTGAAAATATTGCTGCGGTAAACGAGAGTGTCGCCAAAAATCCGAAAACATAAATTCGGTATCGTTCTCAACAAATTCAAATTTAACGCAGCACATTTTGACAAAAGACCTCTCAGCTTACTCAAGAGTTCAAACCGGCAGACCATGGAAAGTGCCGGTAATTCATTCAGTGGGTAATGGAGCAAAATTAAGTCAAAGCCAATTTTTCGAAAAAAGTTATCTCTTATTTCTCCGATCTCCATACCATTTCCATCTGAATGGATGCGTGAATACACAAAATTGTCGAATTTTGGGCTCACAAAATCCTCATGCAATCCATGCGAAAAAATGCACCTACAACGAACAACTATCTGGTGCGGGTTTGGTTCAGGCGGCGTGATTGGGCCTTACTTTTTTGAAGATGAGGCCGAAATTGCAGTGACTGTGAACGGCATTCGTTACAGGAGCACGATAACGAAGTTCTTGTGGCCTCAACTGAATGACATGGATATGGACGACATGTGGTTTCAGCAATATGGTGCCACCTGCCACACCGCGCATGAAACAATAACGCTTGATTGCAGCAACGATTTCCAGAACAAATTATCTCAAGAAATTCTGATACCAATTGGCCACCAAGATCATGCAATTTAATGAGTTTCTTTTAGTCGTCGTGGCCTAACGGATAAGACGTCCGGTGCATTCGTGTTGAGCGATGCACCGGTGTTCGAATCTCAGGCGGGTACCAATTTTTCTAATGAAATACGTACTCAACAAATGTTCACGATTGACTTCCACGGTGATGAATAACATCGTGTAATAAAAATGAAACCCGCAAAAATATAATTTGCGTAATTACTGGTGGTAGGACCTCTTGTGAGTCCGCGCGGGTGGGTACCACCACCTTGCTTATTTCTGCCGTGAAGCAGTGATGCGTTTCGGTTTGAAGGGTGGGGCAGCCGTTGTAACTATACTTGAGACCTTAGAACTCATATCTCAAGGTGGGTGGCGCATTTACGTTATGGATGTCTATGGGCTCCAGTAACCACTTAACAGTACTTAACACCAGGTGGGCTGTGAGCTCGTCCACCCATCTAAGCAATAAAAAAAAAGGGGTTTTGTAAAATCTGAGGCTTATCCGAATAAACCTGGAACAATTCTTGACCTCAAATTTGAGATCCCACACATCATGTGTGAGATACAGCCACATCATGAACAAGTCATGGAAAATTTCACGAAAAGAATAATGGCCTGTTATCAGAACCGTGGGGGTCATTTGACGGATATTATATTCCATACTTAATTGGAACATGTATTATTTACAATACAAGAAAACACTTACTGAGACACCCCTTAGTATCGCATAGTTTTTATGATAATTCTACTAAAGCTACTACTTCAGCTAGTTATCTTGATATAAAAAAAAATTAACCCACATAATGCAAATAGATAACTCAAGCTTACGGAATCAACTAAGTAAGTATTATTTAGCTCTATAATCATTGACATTTTTCTTAGTCTTTTGATATAGAATTATATTGCATGCTATTCATTAGATGTCGAAATAAATCTAAGCGACGAAACTATTGTTACGCATGAATTCGTTTTTACGCATTATGTAGCCTCGAGTTGTTTGTAGAGCAAGAGCTAAGCTACATATGAGTCGACTATTATCAAAGCCGGCAATCTGACTTTTGGACAATGATTGGTAAATCAGAAAAACGAATTATTGACTTTGTATTCCATTGGCAGTCACAAAACTCTTCGGAACGACATCTTAGATAAATAACAGGTTAACTATTAACCTTTATTTAATGCAGGTTTTGAACCGTATTCTTTGAAGGAGACGATTATATTCANCTTATTAATGAATATCAATGACAAGGGTCCCGAAACACCTACAGTAAAAAATCAAAATTATCTTCACTCATTCGAAAATAGTTTTTATAACTCTCAGGATCTTCATCTGCTAATTCAGAGACTAACTTCATTGCACCTAAATGCCTTCTTGTTGACCATCCTCGAATCTACCAACTTTTTTTTTCTTGATAGTCTTTTTTAAGTTTATAGGTATATAAGCATTTCTTTAGTTACATTGAGTATAGCAAATTATAGCTTTGATGCTGAAGGCGCCATGGTTACTGCGATACTGTGCGATTTCGCGACACTAATTTTTTAACGAAATTACTTTCGCATATATCGAAACTACTTTCGTGAAACTGAGTTCAACATGCATGACACTAATTTCGTAATGTAAACTCCGCATTATCGATAGGTTTGAATTGCATGCACAATAACAGCTAAGCGAAAGTCAAATTAGTGCTATGCAAGTAGTTCAGTTTGACACTGATAGGCGCCAAAGGGGTGGGACAGGTGAGGCGGGAAAATCATAAACTCGCATAGCAACTGATCGGCATACACTACTAAAATACTAAACAAGCTTAGCTCTTGATGTCACTATGCTCAGAGTTGTTCAATTTAATTTTAGCAAAGATTGAAAGTGAAAGGAATCTCGTTAATTTTTCCACATTGTTTTATCAAGGATAGAATATTAGATTGCTTCATTATGAAATATACTAGAAAGTCTGGTGAATACTTTAACAAATCTACTTAAACTTAAATATGAAATTTTTAGATATACATATTTTTTTATTGCTAGATGGGTTGACGAGCTCACAGCCCACCAGGAGTTAAGTGGTTACTGAAGCCCATAGACATCTACGACGTAAATGCGCCACCCACCTTGAGATATAAGTTCTAAGGTCTCAAGTATAGTTACAACGGCTGCCCCACCCTTCAAACCGAAACGCATTACTGCTTCACGGCAGAAATAGGCCGGGCGGTGGTACCTACCCGCGCGGACTCACAAGAGGTCCTACCACCAGTAATTACGCAAATTATAATTTTGCGGGATTCACTTTTATTACACGATGTTATTCCTTCACCGTGGAAGACAATCGTGAACATTATCACATCATATACCTATATAGAATAACCTTTCAAATCGGATCCTGTGTTTATTTTGATATTGAATTAGACAGAGCGTTGATGTCAAACTGCAAATGCAGGTCTTTTCGCAACAATGAAAGAAAGTTCTGAAGACTAAACGACAATGTTCTTGCAATGCAAACAAACAACAAACAAGCACATTTCTGTATACATTTACATCGTTGTTTAATGACGACTGTGCATTCACATCCAGAAAAATAAAACAATGACAGAATTCCATTGTTGATTGTTATTAGGTGTTAGGAACCCACGTGATCTTAATACTCGTTAATACAGAATATTTTCATAGGTATTCATAAGACGCAAGATTTTTTAAATGGGCGGTTTTATTCTTGTTTCGTCTTCCGTCTGCGTTCGCAAAGACTATAAAATGTTCGAGATATTTGAAATAAAAATATATCGGGATCTAATTAAATGATTAATATGAAGTTTCTAGAATGCTCCTAACAATATATTTATTTATTAAATAAAATGTAGTTAAAAGATTGTAAAAAAAATGTGCTAAAAAAAGGATATAAAGCGAATTTAATAATCTTAAGCGGTTACATTACGAGTATACTCCTTACATACTGAAACTAAATATGTGAGTAACTAATGACAATGACAATAATAAGGAACATATTTACGGCAGTCAGATATGATTTTATTATTATGTAACCACAGTATTATGAAATTTTATTAATTGATTATTATTTGGGAATTATTTCTTAATTGATCCTTATTAACGCATATTCTATTAGCTAAAACATTATCGTGAGCACAGATAGAAAATAAAAAAATTAATTGCTGTTCGTTAGTCTCGCTAAAACTCGAGAACGGCTGGACCGATTTGGCTAATTTTGGTCTTGAATTATTTGTGGAAGTCCAGAGAAGGTTTAAAGGTAGATAAATATGAAAATGCTCGGAATTACATAAAAACAACAATTTTGTTTTTCCTTTGATGTGTCTCCATCGGACGGATTCCTTTTGTTTATTTTAAGTTTATTTTATACAAAAGCTTAGGTCTTTTATTTACCGATTGAGGCACTATAAAGTCTGCCGGGTCAGCTAGTCTATACTAATATTATAAAGAGGAAAGATTTGTTTGTTTGTTTGTTTCGAATAGGCTCCGAAACTACTGGACCGATTTGAAAAATTCTTTTTCCATTAGAAGCCGACATTGTCCCTGATGAACATAGGCTACTTTTTTTTTTTTTTTTTTTTTGTTTCATGTGTGTTTTAATGTTTCCGAAGCGAAGCGAGGGCGGGTCGCTAGTTTTTAATAAAAATCTATATGTATTCAGTGGAATTTAGATTTACTGTACTTCCACGACAAGATTGCTTATGAATAAAGGAACTGTATTGAAGGCTATGCTTAAACCTGTTATTCTGTGCACAATGTAGACTATATTTATACGTTAATCTTATAAAATCTTAGGCCTAACATGAAAATTGTTATCAGTTATTTTGAATGCGCCGAAATTGAAACAATTCCAAGTTGTCTGTCTGTCTGTGATAAATAAAATACATAAATGTAGTTTAAGAATAACATTTTGTACTTTAATTTTAATACCTTCTAAGTCTGATAACTGAAAAATTATTTGACAATGAGTGACGTAACGAGGCCGTCGACAGTTTTTTTGCGGATGGCTAGTAATTGTTATTATTAATTTTATATTGAAATTCCGCATAATTTTTACAGATATAGAATTTCTGACAGTAATTGAGAAGAAAAAATATGATGGGATATGCTCTCGACGAGTGTTAAAATAAATGAGTATGCAGTGGGTGTCGACGAAAATAATTATGAGACATTCCTATTAAAAAAACTATAATTTTAAGGTGTAATTTGAAAATATGTAGTTCCATAGATATATTGTTATTGACATGTCTACTACTTGCGGAAACCAAAGAAAAACATTTCTACAGAGTAACTTTCAAATTAGAAGTTTGTATTTAATTTTCATTTTTAATATTTAGTCTCTATCAGTCTTCATATCCTTTAACATCAATATGTTTTAAATAATCCTTTATAAGTCGGCTATAAACCATTGTACAAGCTTATTTTAAATATTATTATTTAAAAACATACATAGTATTTAACCAAAATGCGTCGGTACAGCAAAGATCACATATTTTTTGTCTGTTTGATGATTGGAACTTTACTAAAAATCTATTGCTTGGATACAACGGCCCAAACACTCACAGAAATAATTAACGGCTCGACATACATTTAAGATTGTGTTTAATAACATCAATACTATTTATGCAGTAAAATCAACCACTTCGGGGATTAACCCAGACAAACAAAGTGTGTGTGTACATTACAGACAAGTAAAAGCATGTATTTTCGTATGTCGACTATGTAGTAAATTTAATATATTTGTGGTTATTTATATGATTGTTTAAGATAATGAGTTATATATTATATAAAAATGAATTGCTGTTCGTTAGTCTCGCTAAAACTAGAGAGCGGCTGGACCGATTTGGCTAATTTTGGTTTTGAATTATTCGTGGAAGTCCAAAGAAGGTTTAAAAGGTGAATAAATATATGAAAATGCTCGGAATTATATAAAAACAAACAATTTTGCTTTTTCTTTGATGTGTCCCCCGTCGGACGGATTCCTTTTGTTTGTTTTAAGTTTATTTTATAGAAATACATCGATTGAGGCAGTGCGAAGTCTGCCGGGTCAGCTAGTGAGTTAATAAAATAATGCAATTGAAACTTACCGATCCAAGAGCCCATCTCGTCGTCTGTTCTCATAGAGCTATTCTCACGCTGCAGTTGTGGTAGAGCAATCGCTGAGAAACCGATAGGATGACCCGCACCGGCGGCAAGGATCAACACTGCACATGTTATGAGGCACTGAAATCAATGGTCCAAGTTTTTATTTTATTCCTTTTTTTTTATTGCTCAGACCGGTGGACGATTTCACCACGCACCTGGTGTTAGGTGGTTACTGGAGCCCATAGACATCTACAACGTAAATACGCCACCCACCTTGAGACATAAGTTCTAAGGTCTCAGTATAGTTACAACGGCTGCCCCACCCTTCAAACCGAAAGTATTACTGCTTCACGGCAGAAATAGGCAGGGTGGTGGGACCTCAGAATACAGGATTCTGTATTCTCAGGGTGGGACCTACCCGTGCGGACTTACAAGAGGTCCTGCCACCAGTATTCTTCGTTAAAATGGTAAATTTTACTGATCTTGTTTTCTTGTTGGAAGAGTATATATCTCGTGTATTCGTTTGATGTGCAAATAATACAAAAAATATAATTTTAGTCAAAAAAAAACTCAAAGTAGGTTATCTGTGTCTAACAGTTATTTATTCATTTTTACAACCAGTGAAACAAAGATACACTTCGCATAAAACAGAATCAAATGACAAAACACATAATGTCATCACACACAACTCATTGTATGTATGCCAGAACCCTTTTTTGAAGTGGCTAATAATTAGTCCTGTATTTTGATTCAATCAGATTGTCTTCAGTTAGTCATTGCCAGTGTCAATAGCACGCATAAAACATGAAACAAAAAAAACAGTAACAAAATAAGACTCAATGCTCACTACGTACAAATTGAGTACGATTTGTACATAATAGTCATCTCATGATATACCTATACCTATATAGTTAAAGAATTTAGTTACCCAATATCGTTAATGTTATATTTCTCTGTCCTGCCTGAATTTTAGATTACCTGTTTTGGTGCTAGTGTTGTGGGCCAGACGGAATTTTACCTGTTACCTGACCCTACGGCACACAAAGCGTCTCAGAAAAGGAACAGTGGGGTAATCTTTAGAAATTTGGATGCTGTGTTGTAATATCATATTATTTTGAATGCTTGTTTACGTCAATAAAACTTTTAAATTAGTGTAGGTCCGTCATTCATTTTTAACAGTATTCCCATAGAATTATGTCTATAGTTAAATATTGTACTACGTTAAGGGAGCTATTTAAACCAAACGTTAATAATGTTGGATTTTACAAAAAAATACTATGATCTTTATTAGATGCTCGAAAAAAAAATCCCAACTCAATATTTTACAGGTCTTAATACTAAGTTAACAAACATAATAATACCACTAGACGAATCTTCGTGCAATTAAAGACCGCTATTGTATAGCTATTATCATTGCCAAGTTCTATTGTAACAGATTCGCATCAACATCAACGTAACCTGAACAGTTTTGAGGTACATACATATGTTCGTTGTTCAAGGCTCTATGACGTCGAACTCCATTGGCGAAGTATTCACCAACTTCCAACTATCGCATTTCTACAATGGCGGGTGCTACTGAATCTAGAAATATTCCGGACTGGTTGGTGTACAATAAAGGCACTGTTACATGTAAATGAATATAAATGGCAGTAATAATGAATAAGTAGGTAGTATAATAAGAATTTAAAAAAGTTAATATAAATTTGTGAAAAGAGGTACATTACTTTTTATTTTCAGACCGCTGTGATCTACTGTAATTGGAAATGCAAAAAGTTTTAACGTTTTAAACGAACTTTAATAAATTAATTAACATTATATTTCTATTGAGAATCCTAAATAATTATATCACCGCCACCCTGCCTATTTCTGCCGTGAAGCAGTAATACGTTTCGGTTTGAAGGGTGGGGCAGCCGTTGTAACTATACTGAGACCTTAGAACTGATATCTCAAGGTGGGTGGCGCATTTACGTTGTAGATGTCTATGGGCTCCAGTAACCACTTAACACTAGCTGGGCTGTTTGATCGTCCACCCATCTAAGCAATAAAAAAAAAATCTGAAATATAAGGTAATTCCAAATATAAGATACCAAATTACTGTTGTTTGAGCGATAAATTATTCACTATGGAGCTATTCAGTTTATCGATTTTGTATTACTAGTTGACGTAAGACCCGATTTATATTTCAACATGTGATGCCAGGCAATGAACAGTTTATTTTTATAGAAAAAAATATATGGCAGCTCGTTTAGTTATGTGTTTTGTGTTGCTATTGTATTAATTACAATTAAAACAGTAATTTGACCCATACCTTGAGTCATTTTCACTGTCAACAATGTAACTTGAGAGTAATTAATCTTCATAACATCTTGCAATTTTTTTAATTTGTCTGCGAGATACTTCATTAATTACAATCAACAACTGCTCAAGTTCCGACTGAATTTTAATACAGATAGGTAGTAGTTTTACAATTGAGTTTTATTTATTCTTCACTACATTTGGTTGACTGATAGAGAATAATACCTTAGGCATTAAGTCTGCCAATGTAAATAAATACATGAAGTGTAATAAATAAATAAATAAATAAATTGATCCGCATCCATAAAAAATAAGGTTTGATTACTAGGGAACTATAATTCGTATTGGGATCGATTATTAGGGATACTTTTTTGGATATAATAATGTTATCAGCGAAAAATGTAATAAGATATACTATTTATATAACGGTCGGATGTTTCCGAAATATTTTTGCTTCAGCAGTTAAATATGATATTTATGTTTTCCTTAATCATTAATATTTCGTTGAATTAATGCATCAACTTGAAATTTAAAATTAATACACAGCTGACGCTTCTATTACAAAGACTTAATTAAAATCACGTAGTTTAAAAATAAAATTGTTTCAAAATCTGCAAGTGTTTAAGTAAGTTTTCTGTAGTTTTAGCATTAGGTACATATTCCTTTTCGTTTTAATTTAACCTCGTATGAACATTGATTTTCGAGCAGCTGTAAAAATCCGATAAGCTTAAAAACAAACGAGATTTCTAATTACGTATGTTCGGTTAAATCTGAAAATAAAAAATGCGGAGAACAACACTGGTCTGTAGAAACGTAGCGTTGAATACTTGCATATTGCAACTAAAGTTCCAACTCAGTAGTAATAAATATCATTTTGCGTTACTAGAAGATACGGAGAAATAATAATAATAATAAGGCGCATGACGGTCTGGGCCCCGGCGAAGGGGGCCTAAGAAGACAACGTGCAAGCTGCTCTGCACGCGTTTTACGCAAGAGCATCCGGGTGATTGAAGGCCGGCTATCCTCGACTCACGCTGGCTCTGACCCAGCAGGGTATTTCGTAGGATAACCAACTCTAACCGGCGCCATCTAGGCGGGCTTCGGACAGCCTGCCGACCGAGAGGGCTGGTGGTCGTGGCGCCGACGACCGCCCGTCCGGCGTCCCGAGGGGGAGGGTGATGGGAGAGATGTGCTCCGCACTAAACGCTTCACTCTCCCCCTTTGCCTTTTCATGAGTTCTGTCTCATGAGAGGCTCGGACGTGGGTTGTTGAGCGACAGGAGGTTTTAGTCGGTTCGACTCCGACATACCCCACCCGCCAGTCCGGCGATTCCTACTGACCAAAAAAAAAAAATTAGGCGCTTGAAGCATAATCTTACACATTTATTGGAGTTTTTGTAGATAGGCCTTTTTACAATGCAGATGAGATTTTTCGACCTTATGTGTGGGGGCATTCATATATGTATGTATGCGCTATCATCATTATCAGTGCACAATAGTTCACTGCTGGAAACAGGCCTCTCCCAATAATGGACTATAGTAACTACTCAATACCCAGGCAACGGGGCAAAGCAAAGCTGCCGTCACCGATGTGTTTAGGCTCCTCAAGCAAGCAACCGTTCTCGTCGAACTCGTCGATCGAAGAGTTCGATGTGCGAACTAGCCCACAGACACAACCCACTGAGTTTCTAGCCGGATATTCTCAGTGGGTTGCGATTCTGATCCGGTGGTAGATTCAGCGAGGCATTGCTCTAGCTAGAGTCAGCGTTAGCAATTCTTTCAGATTGAGCCCATGATCTAACCGGCCTGCGCTTAGTTGGAATAGTCCCTTAGGGTACCAATGATTCGGTAGAGAAAAAAGGTGAGTCACGAGCTTGTCTACCAATGTGCTAAAAAAAAAAAAAAAATTAATAATGTAGAGTATATGTAGAATAGAGTATGTATTTAGAGAAAATTCAAAGTGCAAACAAGGCGAGAGTTTGGATGGTATATACTTTATTTTATTTGTTTGTTTAAAAGTTCGTATTATTTAACTAAACGAAGTTAACCGAACGCATAAATATGAATAAAATACCTCAAAAATTACGCTAATTTTCGACTAAGAGTTCCAACGTGGTTCAAATACAATCCTGTTATAAGTTACATAGTACAGTAACCACCACCGCAGAAATATGTATAATAAAAATCATCCGATAGTAAATGATACGTGGAAAATGGACATATTTCCATACTTAGACGTCGTAGGACGTCTAATTTGCCATGTGCCATCCAAGTCGACACGGATAGGCGTCACGGTCTTGTCTATTTTTGCCGTTAAAAACAAGCGCATTCCGATTTGAAGGATAGGACAGTGGTTATTCAACACAGTTAAGATTTTGATCTCATATCTTAAAGTATGTAAGGTGACGGCAGCATTAACATTGTATAATTGTCTATGGACTTCGATAACCATTTAACACCTGGTGAAACAAAGAACTCAAACAAGTGTGTGTCTTAATGTTGAAAATGTTTGAATACAACTTTGCGATTTAAAAAATCGTGGCACAATATAAGTTAAAAGACCTTAATATACTTGAGTTTTAATAAAATTATTCCAGTTATTAGTTATTTTGAGCTATATCATGAAATATGTACAAAAAACTGTAACAATGGAGAGAATTGAAACATTTGTTTTTATTGACATTGCCATGACATTTAAATGTAATCTAGATTTAAAACGGGCCCATTTTATCCAATGTCAAAGACGAATTGTGCAAGAATTGCATCGTTGTCGCGCGTGTTTTGTTACAATCTAGTTTGGCAACGAACTTATACATATACTCCTAGTATAAATTGCTGTTTGAGATCAATAACATTTATCTTTAATTTACTATGGTTTTTATGTTCGTTTCTATACTTGAATCACATATGGTGATTATAACAAAAAAATATTTTTTACAATGACTTCCACAACATGTTTGCGAATAGCAACAAGTAGCAAATATTGAACTTTATATTTAATTATGCCACACCTGTACTTTACAAGACGAATTCGTTTCATGAATATATATATTTTTGATTAAAGTTGAGTAAATTTAATAAAGAGTTAGTTATCTATTTCTTATTTTTTGCTTTGCTTGAAGACCGAGTTCTTTCACTTTTTTACTTTGTCAAGGTGAGTGAGTCAGTTCTAAATTAGTTAAAGAAAATCAAGCTATCTAATATGTAATTTTAAATTAATTTCTTTTAATTTGCGTAAGTCGAAAGCGTAGAAAGCGTAGAAGGCTTGCCAAAGAACGCATGCCGCCATGAAACCCTCGGCGTTATCTGATTTATAATTGTTTCATGATATTCTTTTATTTCCTTTTTTTCCTACCTATGCTGATAGCCTTGAGAGGCTATATCAGCTTCGCCCTAGCGTGTAAGTGAGCTCATGAGGCTCAAACCGGAGTGTTGCGAACACTGGCCCTAGCAAGAGCAGTACTTCGCAGAATCTACCACCGGATCAGAAACGCGAGCCACTGAGAAGATCCGGCGAGAAACTCAGTGGGCTGTGTCTATGGGTTAATTCGCTTGTCGAGCTTCAAGCGTCAAGCAACGGGTTCGGGAGGATGGTGACCGGTGCTTGAGGTACCTAAAAGCAGCGTTAATGGATCGGGACTTTATTTCCATTAAGGACAGGCGAGTATATAGTATATTGATGAACGCAGTGGTTCTAGATGAAGGGACTACCTTTAAAAATTTCTCAAAATACAATGCTAGATTTAGAACCAAATTCCCTTCGTAAATCCAGAGCATCAGAATGGGACAATCAACAATCCGAATAGTCCTCTTCTGTATGGGGTCAAATGGAAATAGCTGTGCAACAGATATGAAAATATTTTTTTTCGATGTTGATTTTCAATGTTATGGTGCCAGGAATTCTCGGCACTACCTGTCATTGTTTTAGGAGCTTCGTATCAAATTCGTAATTCGACAATAAGTTGAATAAGTTGAATATTAATGGCTGTATTAAATAATATTGTGAGCAGACCTGATTGAATACACCCCGAACGGAAGAGTATGTTTCTCCTTTGACGTATGGCGGTAATGTGGCCGTTGAGCTGATACTGCGCAAGAAACTCTGTAGGGCTTCGTATTCGTCCTGTTTATTTGATTCTTTCTGCTTTTGTTTAGCAATTTTCGCCAATTTGTCATTGCCGAGCATCGCTTCGTGGGCTCCATCGCTGTAGACAAAATAATATTATATGTTTATATTGTAATTAAGGTCAGAGATAGTAAGTTTACTTTTGTTTTTCGAATCACATAGTAAAATATTAATGTTTATTATTACTGTACATGTGTGCTTATACCACTAAAGTTGTGTAGTTTGATTTATTTATCATCAAAATTCTCTGGCTCGTATGTTTTTATTTATGAAGTTGTGTCCTGAGTATTACAATTACAATTTCGCTGCCAATTGATTGTTTCAGATTGTTGGAACATTGGACTGTTTTTTTCTTTTTTGTTCAGAAAAGTTACGCGTAAGATGACGTAAGCCTCTTATTGTGGTTAAAATTTCACAAATTACAAACACAAATTAATTATTAACAATGAACAAAACTTTTTACGCATGCTTAAAAAAAGTTATTTGGTAAAAACCTTTCCTTACCACATACTACTTCTTTAATTTCTATATTAAAATATTTAGACATTTTTAAGCATTTCGGGAGTTTACTTTCTAGTAAGTTTTACTTTCCGACTCATTTCACCTATCTGTGAAACTTCTGCGTTAGTTATATTAAACGGAAAGCTTTATTTGAAGATAAGTATTCTCCTTTTTTGTCTTTGTTGTAATTAATAAAAAAGGGAAGAAATATTTTTTTAAACGTATTACGATACATGTTATAGGACTTATTGGTTGCAGCTTATTTGAGAAAGTAAACTATTAGGTTACTAAAGGGACAAAGCATCGAATGAAAAACATCTGTAAGGATTTATCGCATACGAAACATCACGATCAGAATTCTCAATCTTCACATCACGTGTGAAGAAATACATATAAAAATATCTGTACAATCTCAAGTTCATGATTACAATTTATAGCAGATATTTCCGTATGAAATCATTTGTCAGATAATGATTTGCCGTTTCCGTGTGATTCGTGGATATCTTGAACATGCATAAGAATTATATAATCAGAAAATGTACGATGTAAACTCAGCAATAACACTGAGTGGAATATGTATATCGACGCTTGAAAGGCAAATGTGACTAAGCGACAATGCGTGAACTTTATAGTAGACTAATTTAATGTTGAAATACCTGAAGAAAATTCTATTTTAACGAATCTAGCTGTAGGATTGAAATGATTTTAATAGACCTAGAAATATATATTTTTTGTGCATCGAATATGGTTATTGCCTATCATTTATGTACAAAGCAGTTATTGTCGCTTAGTCACGTTTGCCTTTCAAGCGTCCATATGTATATTGTAATTTAAATCTAAAGAAATCTGGATGGAACAGTTAATGGTATTGTAACGTTGTTTAATTTACATTTATCTAAAAATGGAAATGCAAGTAAACTTCGCCAAATTATGGACGCATGCAATAAATAACCTTCTCGAGGCATTAATGTCGGGTATTACTACTTCACATTTCGTAAAGATGAGCTGAGAACATTGTCTCCTTGACCATGAAAGTTGGATATTGTCCAAAAACGAAAACTAAAAATATAACCGATAGAACTAATACATACCTATGTATTATACAAGTAGGCAAGCACGCCTATAATGCTCTGCAAGATCGCAACTAGGTTAAGTAGATTTCCCGAAAACAATTACGACTAAGTAAACTTTATTGATAAATAAAATAGCTGGTCACTTCGATCAATAATAGTACGCTGGTCATTGACAATGCGTGTTCTGTATACGAGAATAATTCTGTGATAAGAAAAGGAAGATGTATTGTATTTAAATCTTTGATTTTATTAGCGTGAGCTGAGTTCGTACGCTGATACGAGCTCTTAAAACCTCATTTCAGGCTCGGCCAGGCAATGTCTTTAATACATTAAATAATGTAATTAGAAATATGACCAACGGTTTCAATCAATAGCTTTATTTGTTCACGAGGTCGCTCTAGTAATCTGATGTAACGTAAACATGTCAGTAAATGTACATATATAATATTTTCTTGTAATTGGTTGTTGTAATTAATAAATATCACAAACGATGCATTACAAGTGAACAAAATACCTAAGGCTGATGATTTAACGATACAACGAATTTATCAGGTCCAGGAGATGTCAAAATAATCGATCACTTAAAGTTTTGGCTGTAAACTATAATAAATAGGTGTTGCATAGTAATTATCTAACAAATATTTAATTAATTTGGTTAATTTTCGACAATGCCAATTTTATTCGCATGGTTCTCCATTTGCATACATATCTAAACTGACATTTAATTATGTATTTATTGAAATGTTTAATGTGAAATGTAATGTTTGTTCTTTGTTGGTTTCTATAGTATAGAAAATTTGAGATCAGATGATCATTTCGTCGTTGTATAAATAGTGATTCTATAAAACTTATTTTATTTCATTAAATAACTATTATTGGTTTCAACATTTTACCTTTGGATTTGCACAATTTTCCAACGTCTCCCGTAATGTATGGAATATCCGACAAATTTGAACTCCATGAATTTTGTTGATTTATTTAACATTAAATTAAATTCATAAATGAAGGGCAGTGCGTAAACGCGCGCGTATGCCTGTTGTCCCTACGACTGACGAATGCTAGCTATATGCGAACAATTATCGTTCGTCCTTTAACCTCTGATTATAATATAATTTTCGCATTTAAAAATTCAAATCAATGCAAACTTTCTTCAACAAAAACATCTTCTTTATTGTTGATGCTTTAAAACTTTATTTTTAGATTAAATTTAAATTTAGGCAAACTTCTGATTTTTTATGGCATTTTACAGTCGTCCATCAAAATTTTAGTCCGATTACATATAAATAAAATCATTATTCACACGTTGCATCTCTGGTTTATTCCATTTGTCGCAATAGTGCAGGTACTCTTTTTGAAATTAGTAGTTTTTATAATTCATATTTAGAAGAATAAATCTGCTGTGTTATGACTGTTTTTATCTACAATAATATGTCAGAGGTGTGGTGTAAAGAAAGAACGCCATATCTTGCTAAAACGTGTTAATTCTGCACGTGTACATTATCTACAAATAAACTCAACATATCTTTAAGTCGAGCAAAATCTGTTTATTTTGTATTGAATTGAAGGTACGTACATACGTATCGGTTGGTATAGTAGAAACGCCTGTGATAGTCCTATATAAAAATAAGCTTATTCAAGCGGCTCGGACATCAATATTTATTACATTAATTTTTCCCGTGAATTATTTACGTAGTGTAGATATAAACTTCAAAGGTTAAGGTAAAGTAATAAGGTTCATAATAACTTACTATCGTGTACCGGTGTACATATTTACAAGTTTTAAATTAAAGTTTTATGAGGCACACGTGGTAATACACGTAACCTTAGTAATGCCAGTAAAATTTCATAGAAGCAGTTAATAAAAAAATTCGCATTCATCAAGAATGTAATATGTACTTGTTGAGTCGAGTCATGCAGTGTCAACGATAAATTTACAGATACAAATTTTAGTCTTTCGATGTTCCAACTGTTCAATATTTTGCTAAATGAATGTGCGGTTCGTATTTTTTTGTGTGTACGTCAAGTTCGATGTCCGCAGGACGGCTTTGTCTCTCGGTGGTGAATGTTCGAGAGAGATTTGAAAAACCAGGCAGGTAATAACATACGGAGAAAGGATTTGTAATTTAGATATTATAGCGACTTTGTATATATAGCGCGAGTAGAGTAAGATTTATATAGAATCGTATAGTTTAGTTTAGAATATTGTAGAATAAAAAGTGGAATTTCGCAATAATATGTTTGATTATTGCATTTGCATTGCATATTGCAATTTGATTATTGCATTAATGAACGATTGGCATTAAAATAAATCATTTTTGTTGCATTTTAATGTAGATAAGTTACATTAAATCTATTTCATTAAATTAAATACCGTCACGTATCTTGATTACCTCGTTAAGAGTTGATCAATGGCTGCCTACCTTGAAGCCTGGAGTGTTGAGTATTTTGCGGTATAAATAGGCATATTTACGAATGTGGATTTACAATATGTCCTAAGGGCATATTGGAAAATAGACAAGTAGTAGCAAGAACTCGAGGGATCTTAACAATATTTTTTCTGAGTGCTAGCCGGACTTCCAACCTAAGTTCGTCCCAAGATATTCTGATCGAAGTTTTTAGTTGTTAAGTGTTTTTTGCAGTAAAATTTGGTCCGCAAGACAGTTAAACATTTCATTCAATCCACGTCCAAATCCCGGATGCTAAAAATCTTCCAGATCTGTGTTACAGTACTCAGGGTAACTTTCCAATGAACTTTCTTGAAATAAGTTGTTAAATAAGCGATATTTGAAATAGTAATATTTTACGGATTTGTTTTTTTATTACTAAAAATAAAAAAAATGCGTAAGCGTACAGGTAAAAGGTAGGTAAGCGTAGAGGTTTTTGAGTGAAACTTTTTCCAAATGGTAGTTATCTATGAGGTTCTTCTTTTAAAAAAACTGGTAAAGCGTTTTTACTGGTAATAAGGCGTCTTTACTAGTAGTAGAGAATCTTTACTAGTGGTAGAGCATCTTTACTGGTAATAGAGTGTCTTTACTGGTGATAGAGCATCTTTACTGGTAGTAGAGGATCTTTACTAGTGGTAGAATGCCTATACTGGTGATAGAGCGTCTTCACTGATGATAGGGCATCTTTATTACTGGTGGTCGAGAATATTTACTAGGCGTCTAGGGTAGGTACATCTACCCTGTCTATTTTTGCCGTAAGACAGTAATGCGTTTCGACTTGAAGGGTGGGGCAGTTGTATTAATGAACTGACACTTAGAACTCAAGTCTCAATGTGGGTAGCGGCTTTAATGTTGTAATGTTTATTATGACTATATATTCAGTCACTTGCTTATTTTTTGTTTGATTAATGTTTTGTTTTCATTACCTTTATATCCTTTTCATAATAATGGATATGATTAAAAGTAAATATGAAATGTAAGCTCTGTCGCGGTAGCAATGCTGTACAAGCGGTTCACAATATTATTGACGTGTACGGAGTGAATACACAAACAAACGCACGAATGAACGCTTCTGAAATAACCATTTTGATCTAAACAATGAACCCCATGCTCACCCGAAAAATAAAGTCAACCACAATAAATTAAAGTAGAAGCTGACGATACTTAATCTACCGCTGAGTTAACAGCTGCTGCTGAGCAGATTTCAACGTTAGCATCAAAATAATATTGATAAGTAGGTGCCACAAGAACTGAACAATCGCCAGCGTGACTAACACCTGAAGGTATGCCTTGCGTAGCTTCAAAACATAGAAACGAAGAGAATTTCAACGGCATTGTCACTTGCATTGAAACTGAATTATTTTTGATAATTTTTAGCGATCTTCATGTTGGTTAGACCCTGGTTTAGCACCTAGGTAATCTCCCAAACGAAAATGTACACCGTAAAGTATCACAATTCATCACAGTTTCTTATCAAATGGCACCTACATTTCTGAAGCTCGCAAATCTCCGGCCAGCCTTTGTTAATCGCTCGTCCCCAATGCTTGCTCTTACATGATAACACTCGATCTCATACGGCATAACAGATGGTCTCTAAGCTGAGAAAAAAATCAATACTCGAAAAGCAGTACAAAATGACTTTGAAGTGTTTGTTGGTTCTCGTACACATGATTTCTTCAAGAAGGAAAAATTACCACAGCACGCATGAGTGCGTATTTTGATTGATAGAAATAATTTTTTTTATAAAAAAATACTTTAACTTTATATGAACTAAGCGGCCATTGCGTAGTTAAATACTTGGTATTTATGGATCTTTTTTTCTATTATGCACTTTTTAAAATTTAGAATATAATGTAGGTATTGTCTTAAGTTAAAAATGCAGAGCATATTGTTTGAAGTTTGACTACGTTTATTGAGTCCGAACATTGTCCCGGTTTTTGTTTAATTCAAATAGTTGTACAAAAAAAACACACATTGACTACTTAATTATTTACAAAAGAGAAAATTTAATACCGTCGCGGATAATATAAGGCGTTTCGAAGAGTATTGATTTTTCTTGAAACGTAAAGTAGGTTATTCCGAGCATGCATTACAAACAACTTTTTATTTCAAGCGTTTGAGTCATCGTTGAATGGCTATTTGTTTTTATTAAGTAATCAAATTATTCATAATTAATTATCTTTAAAGAAAAAAAAGAAGCGAAAACAACTGAGCGTCTTCCCAAGTATAGGCACTCTAGTGAGGTTTGATTTCCAGCAATAGCTTATTAATTATTAATTAATTATTATTATTACTATTATTAGAATATACGGTCGAATATGAACCATGAATGGAATATGTACCTAATCTGATTTGACTGATCTTACTACTGCAGATTATCCAACCAACGGGGGTAACATTAGCTGTGCCGTAAAATTGCGTCTGTCTAATTACATATTATTATGCACAATAATAGAAAACTGAATTCCTTTTTTCCAACTTGTACAGGTGCCCCTTAAGTATTGTTTCAATTATATATACAAAAAGAATAAGCCACATATTAGAGTTATCAAGACTTTGAGATAAATTTATGTTCCGCAAATTACGACAATTACGATACCATTGTGGTTGCTTGAATTAAATTTACGTAAATATCCAATCGAAAAATAAGAATTTTAGCTTACAGTACAAGAGAATTTTAGCGTCTGAAAAAAGAATTAGGTCACGCATATCCGCAAGCCTCTTTAGCTTTCGATTGCATGTGTACTAACTATAAACTTTCAAAAATGAAAGGTAATGTTCAGCTCAACAGTTTGATTTGTATTTCAGGTTCACGTGGAGATGGTATATTCGCGTTATAATATAATTAGTCAGCTCCGATAAACCCTGTAAACGATGCTAAAGTCAACGATGTAAAAATGATACTAATCACTAATCTACCCGTGAGCAATGGTGATATAACTTCCCACGACCAAATTGATTCCTACCCAGCTCTAAATTTGAAACTATTCTTCCAGTGATTTTACCTTATAAGTTAAATTGATATAAATTGACGGATACGGAGATCTCGTGTAATAAGAAAATGTGTTTGAGTCAAGCATTATTTATTAGATTCCGTATTTCCGTATAATTTTATCGTGTAGTATTTATGGATGGAATTACATTTTCTGTCTTGGGAATGCGGTAAAATAAGAATTTGTCCATAGGTAGGAACTACCTACATATATCATAATGTAATTAAAGAAATCAACAGAGTATCCATTTTACTATTTGACGTAGTAGGGTCTCGTAGAGGCGCCTTTTTCGATATACGATTTATTTAAAATGTAATTTTTGTTAATTTTAGTTTTATTAATTATACACTGTGATTTTTACAGGCTGTATCGGTAGCAATAGTAAGCATTAGTAGGGTATCTCATTTAACTTTAATTTCATTAGCATGCGAAATTTAATCAGTTAGTGTACAAGGTTAATACACTAGTATAGAAATTTAGAATATGTTTATGTAATCGTATGAGTGTGTACTGGCCGCGGGCAACGGAGTATCGTTAATTTTGGTGAACCTTGGCTGATCATGATTATTCTATACATTTCCATTCATTTATAAATACAGAATAAAATAATACAGTTATCGCATGTTTGGAACTTTTTTGTTGTGTTTATATCGTAATTATTTATTTCTTATATAAATTTTTAGAATTAGGTAACTAAATACATTAAAGATGGAATTTATAATTTACAGCGATTGGGTAGTGGTCATTTTTCGTTCGTTTTTCTGATAAACGTCATTATTTATGAATTATAATAATGACTTTGACTTATTTTAACCTGCAGTACCATTTTCATTTCCTTTGGTCAACCTTATAACCTGTTTCTTTCCTTGGTTTCATAGTTGTTGGAGTTTAGTGTTAACGTTTTTTTTTGGAAATAAGTTATTTTTTTGAAATGTCAACATAATATAGATAAAATGTCGTTACAGTGCATAGAATGAATCAGAATCTTAAAATATTAGTATTTGATTGATTAATAGTGAATTTCGATCATTGGTCGAACGGACACTAAGTACTTAAAATAAACAAACGAATATTGAAGTACCTACTTTTATAAAAATGTTACTTATCTAAAATAAAATACCTACATTTATATCATGTTACATGCCGTATTTAAACTACAAAACTGAAATATTTTGTATAAAAGTAACTCACCATTTCATGTTATCTTTTATTAATTTGGAAAGTCTGTTAGTCGTTTTAAGGATTTGGGATTGTCCTGAAATACTTGCACTGTTTCACGGTTTTATGAGAGGTATTATTTTGCAAATATCATATAAAAATAATTCAATGTTGCCTTAAATCCGATTTTGTTCAAAACATTGTTAACGATCGATCGATGGGGTTAGCCGACGGGCCTGTTTTTATACCGTGGCGTCCGACCGCTGCTATCGAGTCAGCGAACAAAACGCGACTAGCCGATCGTTGGCTAAATAGCAGTCGACGGAGCATTCTTGCTTTACAACTAGTCGTCTCTGACGTCACGACGTCAACATTAATGAAACGTTTTCATTGAATGATATTATGATCGGATATCACAATGACATCTTTTGATTTGATTGAAAATATACCCTAGAATCAATAGCTGTTGTATAAAAGGGCATTGAAAGTCAGCAATGTCAGTCACAAAATACAAAGCAGTTTCTGTTTAAAGATTTTTTGAAACGCAACGTTAACGTATTGCTATCTTATTTATCCCATTGATTTTAAGACTAACTCCAAACGAGTAAGTTGAGGCCTATATCTCCACCTGCCGTGGCCTTTGGTGAAACTGGAAACCAGTAATCCTTCAATCACAAAAAAAAAGAGACCCTGAGCGTCTATAAATCTAGAATATCAAATATAAAAAAGAACATACCTATATCTTTACAAAACAATGATCCCAAGCTATCAGTTTTCTCCTTCGTTCCTTCGTTGTGAGTACCGAAAACCTAAACGAGACAACAATAAATACACCCAACCCCTATGACAAACATATTTATGTATCTGTAACCAACTTCAAGATCAACGAGGCAATCATTACTATTAAAAATTTGTAGACAGCGCGATAAATAATAATAATATGTCGGAGAGACGGACATGCGTAACATTAAGGAAACAGTTAACTTTAACTATTTTTAGTTAATTAAATAGTGACGTTGCGCCGACAAATATAATTTTCAGTAATTTTAGACTGCACAAATATAGTTAATATGCTGCTTAGTTAGTTACTGCTACTGCACAAATATAGTTAGGTATTAAGGTTTATCGTTGATTGATCGTTTCGATCGATTTTTTTTAGATCACGAATGGTTAGAAATTACAGTTAGCAGCATTTTCAGCTAAATAAAAGCGATGTGGTATTTCTGAATCCACCAGGAAACACTCAGGAGAGTTGCCGCCACGTCTCTTGCTATAAAATGACAAAACATCTCGTCACGGCCGGCCCTTCAAAACAAGTCACCCTTTTTTTCTCTACCTAATCTGGTAACCTTAGGTTATGCCGGCATCACCAAGCGAGTAGGTGAGCTCACGGGGCTCTAACCTGAGAACGTTGCTAACACTAATCCTAGCAAGAGTAGAGCTTCACAGAATCTACCACCGGATCTAAAAGCACCGTTAGTGGATCGGGAGGATCCGAAATGACGTATTTAGGGTGACGTCGATTGTTTACCATTTGGTCCGCAGGATCGGGTATGGCCTATATCCTATCCCTGCCCGTATAAAGCGCGGTAAAGCCATCCCCGCGATTACTCTCTTTGGCCAACTTATACCCTGGGCCGGGAAGATTCAGGAGTCACCTTCGATAGAAGGATGACATTCTCTTCCCTCATTAAGATAGTTTGCGTCTGAGCTGCGTTTATACTGGGTCGTGTTCATCATAAGATTTGCTAGCAAAATAAATTCTCCCTTTGTGATAAGGTTTCTACAAAACGTCTACGTACATGTGATCATAACTCATAGGTATTAGTGTAGTGTCTGTTCGCGCGGCCCGCATGTATACAGAAACTCTTGAAGTCATTCTATCCCGTTTCTGCAGGATAGCCGTAGAAGCACCATGGTATGTGAGGAATATTGATATTTACGATGGCCTCGACATAGAATCACTCAGCAAATATCTTCTTAAGACAGTGGCAGAACACTTCTTCGAAATAGTGGAGCGACACGATATCCCTCTTATCGTGACCGCTTCTAAATACATCACATCAGTCAGCCGAGTTTCACACCAGATCTTCTCAGCCCGTCGCGATTCCAATCCGTGTTCTTCAGATGCACTCGGGTAGCTGTTAAAAAATCTCACCCGTCTCAGGTGAGCCCGTGTTTACCAATCTGTCCTAGTAATACTAGAAAGGCCTTTGGACGTTCAGTAATCCTCCAATCACAAAGAAACTGGTGGTAGGACCTCTTGTAAGTCCGCACGGGTAGGTACCACCGCCCCGCCTATTTCTGCCGTGAAGCAGTAATGCGTTTCGGTTTGAAGGGTGGGGCAGCCGTTGTGACTGTGCTGAGACCTTAGAACTATATCTCAAGGTGTGTGACGCATTTGCGTTGTGGATGTCTATGGGCTCCAGTAACCACTTAACACAAGGTGGGCTGTGAGCTCGTCCACACATCTCGGTGATAAAAAAAAAAACTCAAAGCCGGAAGCCGGAATAGCCTTTCAGAGCCAACGGCGATTAGGTAGAGAAAAAAATCACGGCCTGTGTAGCCTTCAGAAAAACCTACAATTTGCCACTTGTCTAGGTTAGGTTTTGAGGTTCCTTGATTGAGAGACATGATCTTTCTTTCTGAAAATTTCAAGGATTTTTTTGCTAAAAGGATTTTTATTTTTTATTGCTTAGGTTTGTGGATGAGCTCACGGCCCACCTGGTATCAAGTGGCTACAAGATCCCATAGACATATACAACGTAAACGCCGCCACCCACCTTGAGATATGAGTTCTAAGGTCTCAGTATAGTTACAACGGCTGCCCCATCTTTCCAGCCGAAACGTACTACTGCTTCACGGCTGAGGTATTACTTATATTTAATAAAGTTGAGTAGCGGTTTATTTTTAAACACAAATTGATAGCGTTTTCTATAAATCACTACATATGTTATCAGTGTTTTATCAGTGTTCAAGAACAAAAAACAATAAAGTAGTTCTACTTTTAATCTATTAGGTATGTGTTGAAATGATATTTGTAAATTAAGATTTTTATTCAATAGTCCAAAAAAAGTTGTCAAATGTTTGTGTTTACAAATAATTTACGTGTAAAACGAAATGTAAGTTGATAAGTTTAAACTTACATCTAAAATAAACAACTTTTTGTTTTTGTCGCGATTCCAACCCGGTAGTAGATTCATTCGCGGAGCTGTTTGTTGCTCTTGAGTTGTTAGGTCTCCTTCAGAGGCGCTCGGGCAGCTATTAACAAATCCCATCCCTCCTGGCTGAGCCTTAGGCCGCCCACCTGTCCTTGTGAAGCTGGCCCATATGGCTATTTTATACCGCAGTATTTTTAGTGCAATATTATTAATCGATTTTTTCAGTAATCAATCCATTGTTTTTGACAAATATGTTGTAAATGTGATAGATGCTATATTTGCAAATCTCGAAGATCTCAAAAGAACTATGACTCAACGAATTAGAAACAAGTTATAATATATTTTTTATAGTAAAGTTAATGAGCGAAACGTGTTTTTTTTTGGTTTGTTTTTGCTTCTCTGTACTTCTTATTGTTTATACCGCCGTTACAAGCAAAAACTCAATAGTCGTAAACGCAATAGTCGTAGGAGGCAAAGATATTTAAAATGTCATGATTTTCACAAAACACTAACAGTAACGTCTCCAGTTTATTATTATACAAGTCAGCATCAAGTATGATACATAACGAGATAAAAATTCCTGCTTTAAATATAATAAATTAATTTAAGTAATTAAATTAAACAAAAATTATCTAAATATAACTATCAATTTCCACATACCCCACTTGCTTTCTCCCGTGGAAAAAAAAGGTATACGAAAAAGCTGGAATGGCGGCCGCACTTCATGCTTTTTTTCTCCCTACCTATTCTCTGGTAACCTAGTGGGCTATTCCAGCTACGCCCGGACAGGCGACTTCATGCTCTCAATATTGCTGTACCAGCTACTTCCATTTGACTCCATACAGAAGAGAGCCGTTCGGATTGTCGATAGTCCCATTCTCACGGATCGTTTGGAACCTCTGGGTCTGCGGAGGGACTTCGGTTTCCTCTGTATTTTGCACCGTATGTTCCACGGAAAGTGCTCTGAGGAATTGTTTGAGATGATATTATCACCTCGTTTTTATAATCGCACCGCCCGCCACCGGAGTAGAGTTCATCCATACTACCTGGAGCCACTGCGGTCATACACAGTGCGTTTCCAGATATATTTTTTGCCACGTACCATTCGGCTTTGGAATGAGGTCCCCTCCACGGTGTTTCCCAAGCGCTATGATATGTCCTTCTTAAACGAAGCTTGTAGATAGGAGAGTATTAAGCGGTTTACAGCGGCCTGGCTCTGCCCCTGGCATTGGTGAAGTCTATGGGCGACGGTAACCACTCACCATCAGGTGGGCTGTATGCTCGTCTGCCTATAAGGGCCCATAAAAAAATCGTAGTAGCTCTTTATAGGAACAAATTCAAAATATTGTATTCAGTAATAGACTTTAAACATTTTGTTATGTATTTATTCATATTGAAAACCTACGTTAAAAGCAACTGTTTTTAATTAAATTCTCTTTCCTGCAAAAATAGCTTTTAATTTTGTATAAAATCGAAAAAAAAAGAAAACTTGCGCAATAAAATTCTAGAAAATTGTTGTTCCAAAAATGAATAAATAGTCTAGTCAACAAGTTCAAAAACGTGAAAAATAGAGATAAAGGTCCTAAAAATATGAGCGATAGCTCATTGGATTCGGAATCACTTCTAGAAAAATGTTTTTGAAGGATTTTGGTGCAGGTAAAAATTGCAATTGTTATTAACAAAATAAGATGAAAAAAAATGATATTTAGTTTTTCATTAATAACTCGAAAAATATTAATATCTAAGGAACTTCGAAAAAAGCTCGTTAAAGAGGAGGAAATTTCCAATAAAAAAGTCCGTACTCCCGGAACTTTATCTTTATTATTTATAATTTTAATTTGACGTGAAAATAGGGCTCCGCGTGGCTTTTACGACATGCGCGCGCCACCGCTAAAAAGACATCGTCAGATAAAATATTTTTTTTATAACAAACTATCATTTTAAAAATTTGTAAAAATTCTAGTATCTTCTTAATACTTAAAAGATTCGAGCTCCGTTGGAAAATAAGGTTTATCCCCATTTTTCAAAAAGTTATTGAATTGTTAACTAACAATTTTTTTTCTAATCTCCGTTGGCATAAATAATGGCATGAAAGGTATAAATAATTGGCCTATAAATTTGAAACTTCGTGGAGCCCTTTTCATATATATACTTCATAAGATACTGCGATAAATGTTCATTTAAGTTTGTTAATTATTATTTTTTAGAACTATCACAAAAAAATCTAAATTCATTATTTAATTGTTTATTAGTTTAACAAATTGTTATGTTGTGTTTGTGTAATATATTTAATATTGTAAATATTGATAATTGCGAGGAGACCGTCATGTAAGGTGATAATTTGACTTCGATCAAGAATATAGATTTATAGCATGATTTTTCGGCAATTATTTGTACTTGCATTATATGAAAACATCTGTGTTACTAACTCACAGACGTCACAAAAGTAAATCGGGCATGTTGCATACACACGTATTTTTTCAAAGAATTATCCGTGTTGAACGCTATTCATAACTATCACTACAAACAGTACGCATGTATGTAACTTAAACTAAAAACACGGATTGACGCTGTTGTTCGTAGAATTTAATCTGTTTAGGTTCTGTTGAGTTTATTAGCTTTTTATAGTCATTCATTAGCGTGAATTATGAATCACAGACATAAGACGAGCCTTGACAATGAATATTTAAAGTACCGATAAGAGCCGAATCCATAGTCGAGTTCCGTTATTGTTTTTATACATGAAACTGTATCAAGTAAAACAAATACGCGCCTTAAGAACACATTGCGTTATTTGCATGTTCCTGCCTTCACCGCCGTGAAAGTGCGGGCGAAAATAGTGGAGATTGCCCTACTGTTTCGGAAATAAATAATTGTTGCATTAATTGAATTTGAAACTATTGTTATTCTGTATTCCGAAACATTCGGTTTAATTTTATTTGCTTTTAATAATAAATAACAAACTGGAAACTTATCCCTTATAATCAATTATGAAAGACTCCTTCGTTATATACCTATATCAATTAAAGCTCGCCTAAACTGTGAAATAAGGAAGTGGCTCACATGCTATTATAGTTCAAGTCTAACTGATTCAGAATAAAATTTGAAAAAAAAAACCCGGTTGCACCCAAACCCGCGATATTTATGAGAGGCACACATAATCCTCCTTGGCCATAAATTACCTAGTGAGAAATGTTATTCAGTGTGGTTATGCCGTTCTGTATCATATATTGTAAACTTTTTCTGAAGAGGCATGCTTAAATTTTCACGATCTGCCGTTCATGAAATGTGTGTCACACGGTTTGTGTATTTCCCGTTCTTGACCTATGAATGCGAGTCGAGGATGTGATAATTGGTAGGGGCCGTATTACCCGTTATGTTTCCTAAAATAACAATTTATGGTAAACAAATGCACCCGAGGTGTGTCATCCTTCGATAATTGCCTTCGTATATAACATGAGAATTCAGACGCTTTCCGGATAAAGAGGAATTAACTGTCGTAGTCTTTGGATCATACAATTAAACCTCTTCTATTATTGTTTTATTGTAAAATGGCTTTTATTATTAATGTACTCGCCCTGTTTTTTCTACTGGCAGTTTTTATAATTGTTCATGGAAAGCCGTTGGAAGAGTCAACGGATGTGGCAAAAACCGAAAGTAGCGAATTGTTGGAAGTTGCTGAATCTCAGAATCCTTTTTTACCGAGATTTGCCATGAGGAAGCTGAAAGAGAAACGCGAGAAAGCTAGAGCTCAAAGAAGGAATGGCCAGGTACAAAGCAGAACACAACATCACACACCGAACTGCCCTCATTACAGATATTGGGGATACTATGTGAGTATTAATTTGTTTGAAGTTTTAGTACTGTGATATGTTAAAATTCAATCAATTAAATTTTAAAAACCAAAATCTATTAAGCACTAAGCTTATTGTTAAGATCGAGTCCTGAGTTTTTGGATATTTTTTTAATACTTTTAATTGCTTATGTCATGATGTTTTGTCTATGATTTAGAAAACGAGAAAAAATGTTTATTTGACAAAGTAGTTAGATTCTTGTAACGGCGCAACCTTTCTTCGACCCCGATCTTTTCAAATATAAGGCAGAGCACATAAGGTTTCACGCAGTTCTGAAAAGTCGCGTTTAGTTGAGTGATCGTTGATTTGTTTTATTTCTTATTTTGCAGTAAAATGTATCCTCGAGCGTTATTTATTCTTTGCTTGGGGCTCGTCACCGTTTCCGCTAGCCCTGCGATAAGACAAGAAATCGATAACAATTTGTCTTCACCAAATATTAAGTTAGAAGTTAACCCAGAGGATCATAAAGAAGAGTCCGATCAATACAGTTTAGTGAGCGACAACTTAGAAACATCGACAGAGAATAGTGAAGACTTCCCAAAATTTGATGAAGTCGCCGATGTTGACGTCATCATAGAAGAGTCTGTCGGAGAACCAAATGACATCACACAGATTCAGGATGACGCAAGTTTGGACTATTTTCCTGAAATTGACGACTCTTATAGATTCACATCTGTCGATAAAGTTGAGGATGAAATAATGGATACTGCTGCAGGCGTTATACCCTTCACAATTTTTAGAAGAAGGCAAAAGCCAAGAAGACGTTACATGGCACGCAGAAGATTCACGCCAAGATGGAATCCTTACAGAAACTTCCAATACTTTTACCCATATTACGGATTTTATCGCCCCAGCTCTTTTAGATATTACTAATGTATTTAGTTAGTTTTAAGCATGCACTTGCCAGTAGTTTATAATATATTATTTTTGTAAACGTGATGTTTGCTAACTTCAAACGCATTTAATTTATTTATTAATTTAAACAAAGAACGAGTTTCCCACGTTTAATAAAAAAAAGAAGTCATTCAACACTTTTGTAAATGCTATCTCAATTTTATTGGAGCTGCAGTACTCTTTGTAGATTAATATATTTTATTTACAAAACATTTTCCAACTCAAGAATCTATTATTTATTTCGATAGTGTTATTTCATGATCTTTAAAAATATATATTATATTAAACTTACAAAATCTACATCGTCTTTTATTATAACAAAGTTTGTCTTTAAAACTAAAATACATCACATTATAATAATACTATTTACATAGATAATACTTTGGATAAATTAAATATTTTCAAAGCATAATTTAAATTATTTGAAGTAAAATAAATATTTTTACAATACGTATGTATTTACTTCATAAGATTTTATACAACAAATTCGTATGAAAATAATTGTTATTCTAACAATTTTAATTACATTATTTATAAGTTAGTGTGCCTCGGAGTTATCAGTAATCAAGGCATTTTGGCTTTATTTTTGCGGTACATATCTCAGCGCGATGTCTATACCGCTTTCACTTACCGGGACCAACTAATCCTTCGTCTATGAGTTCATCGTCTGTAATACAAGGTGAATTAGAATGAGGCGACGGAGCTACTAGGGGCGAAGGCGCAGGGCTCTTGGCTAATTGCAGGGCGAGGGCCGGAGAGGCAGGGTACACGGGACGGACCGCTACTAAGCCAGAAACTTTACTACCGGACGATGAGGAGAAATCTAATAGCATTTCTGCTGCTTCTTGAGGCGTAGTCGCCCCACTGCGGGCCACTGATGCGCTCGCGGGCGGTTTCATACAAGAGTCGGCCCCTTTTCTGTCTTCGGGGGCGCCTTTTGGAGTAGCGAATCCCTTTGCCATATCCGTTTTAAAATCGAGTGGCATCAGAGGATAAGAACTGGAATAAGCATCTTTGGCTTCATCCTTGTTACGCTGAGGACTCCCGCCTTTGGTAAGGCTGTCTGCGGTAGCTTTGGAATATTCCATGGGTCTGTCCGATTGATCAGCTTTACCTGTAGTTTTAGGACTCATTGCTCCTAAGTTCATTAATGGTTTTGGTACATTTAAAGGGTAAGCCGACTTTTGCATTGATTCGGAGCTTTTGTTCGAATTATCGTAATGCGAAAAAGGATATTTATTTTGGTCAAGCGAACGTGAAAAATCATTCACCATGGATCTGTTTTCATACTGCGCCGCGGGACTATTTTTGTCTTTTAGTTTTGGAATTTGAAAGTTTCGAGTGTCCAGAGGTTTCATTAAGCCTTCAACACGAAAGTTTACATCTTTCGATGATTTTATTCTGTCGCCATCGACGTCGTCTCTAGAGCCACTCGGACTAGAATGCCGTTCAGACTTCGAAGAGAATATAGACTTTTCTGAATTACTCATAAGTTTCGTTCGCGCTTTCTCTCTTTCACGATCTCGAATTATTTTCGCTAAATCTGAACTACTGCCTTTAGGCGAGCCCGAATTAGATTTGGAGGCAGATTTTGAAAGATTTATACCAGCGCTACTGCTACTGCTGGATGACTTAGAGTAAGGCACTTTAGACATGTTCGGATTACTCGAATCCGAAGGACTCATATTCGCTTTGGGCGGTGTCGAGCTTGTGTTCAGACTGCTGGATTTAGAAGACTGCATGGCTTGGGTCTTTTTAGAGGCCGGTCCACTAATAACTCCAGGTTTCAAGCCGGTGTGAGTTTTTGGAGAGCCTTGACTGGGAGGCGTGAGCTGGGGAGATGATTGTTTGCTAGAGCTATAGTTTAATTTCGAACTGCTACTGGATTCCTTTGAGCGAGTCTTGTTGATGGTGATCTTCATTCCGTCCGAACTTGGTTTCACCATGTATTCTTGATTTTTACTTTCGCTCGTCTTGCCGCTGCTACCGGGTAAACTGTTTTTCTGTTCCGAGAACTTACCGACGCTACTTGATGAGCCGCTGGACTTCGAACTTGAGTCGGAATCCCCTCCACAATGTTGAGCCGACTTAAGTTTGTCTATGACAGCACTCAGCGAGCCCTTTCTGTTACGCGCTTGGCTAGCATTGGGTTTGTTTACTTCTATATTTGGCGGAGAAATCAATGGCTCCGTCACAGCATTATCACAGGTAACTGGAGTTATTTCTAGCTGTTTGATTTTCATGGGGTTTTTTAATTTCGGACTGCTCCGATCGGAACTAGAAAAAGAGAGGCTGGAATGTTTTTTTTCTTTATCCCTAGAGGTTGAGGAGCTAGAGCTGTAGTTGTCTTTGGAGATTTTTTTTGTCAGATCGTAACCAGTTGTTCCGGATTTAGCAGACGGAGAGCCGCTTGTCGCCGATTTTAAGGCCGACATACTAGGCTTGCCTGAACCGGACGAGCTTTGTTTAGGGGAAGAGATGCTGTGGTTTTTTGGACTCGAATAGCCTGTTAGATGTTTCGGACTATTTTGAACCGGCGAATGTCGCGGGCTACTGTGGTGGCTGGACGTGCCGGACGGTTTTCCTATGCCCTTGACGGTGCTAGGGCTCGGTGATTTGGTGATCGACACGGAACGGCCGTGCGTTGGACTCGGACTGAATTTCCTGATCAGCGAGTTCGGTGACGACGCACGCAAGGGCGAGCCGTCAGTAGGTTTGATACTGACTGATACGGGCTTAGTCAACGGGTCCTGCTTAGGAGGCACTTTCTCCGGGGGTCCCATCGAATCGTCTCGTCTGCGTTTTTTCTTCTTCTCTTTGCTTCGTTCTTCGCCGGATTTGCTGGACTTCCTGTCGGACCTAATACGATCGTCCATAGATTTGATTTGCGAGGACGTGATAGGCGTGATGGTTATGGAACTAGGTAGGGCGGCCGGAGCAGCCGCCGAGATCGGTATGATCTCGATCCCGGGGCGTCGGTCGAGACAGAGCATGGACGAGATGCCGGCGCCCGACGGAGGCTGCGGGTTAGCGGAGCTACTGCCGATGGGCGTGATGCTGACCGACGAAGGCATGTACGATTTACCTTCGGTCAAATCGAGCAACAAAGAAGAAGAGCTTCTTCTCATTTCCGAATCTTTACTTTTAAGCTTTTGCCTTTTGTGATCAGACTTCTGAAAAGAATTCCTGAAATGGGGAAAACAGTTTGATTTTTCAATATCATGACCATTTAATGTTAGAATAATGTTAGTGAATAATTAATTAAATTTACCTCATAATTTCTTCGACGTCTCCATCGTTCGAGTTGTCTATATCGGACGAGGTCCGGTTGTCCTGGTTCCTCAAGGCGTCCGCGGCGTCCATCGTGGAAAGTTCTAGATCTGACGTGAATTCGTTTTGCGAGGCGGACGACTCCCGGCCCTCCAAATCTTCGGTACTAGAATTACTGTTTACGGTATTGTCGTCTTCGTTCGCGTAATTATCGGAATTGTCGCTCTCGCTGTCCGAATCCATCATGTCGCTCAAACCGGGCTTCCCTTTCTTCTGCGCCGTGCTCCATACATCAGAATCAGACTTTCGCTTTTTCGATTTCCGTTCCTCCTGGTGCTTAGACTCGTTCGAATCCTGACACATCATCGTTAGTTGGTGCTGTTGCTCGGAGAGATATGCGCCTGCAATGGAACTATAATTACGAACGGGTTATCAAATACAAAATCAAAGTTCGAGTCCAGTGTACGTTTTAGGAATTGAAACGAAATTAAATACGGTGTGGCCACCCTCTTGCCTATTTTAGCTGCAAAGCAACTATTTGTTGAAGTGAAACTTCTTTAGAATCGTTGTGATTTCAAACTCGATGAAACGAAAAAATAAGTCCATAGAGACATAAACACATAAATGTATAGGATTCAGCTGGCGAAAGAATGAGATAGAACACATTAGTGTGTTCTCGGTCTCCTCTTTGTGCGACTCTGCGTAGCATCCCCACTATCGTCTACTAAACATTGTCCATATGTATGCTCCTGTGTAGTGGGATAGGCAGTATATCTATAACTATATCTTATTTATAAGTTTCATTTCTACCGTATGTGACTTGCACATACACACCCTTTTTTATTGCATATAGGGTACGGTAAACAAATTAACAGCCCACATGTTGTTGGGCGGTTACTAGAGTCGAAAAACATAACGATGTGAATTCCGCCATGCACCATGAGACATGAGGTCGATGTCTCAATTGTACAATATAACTGCAGTCGGTTTAACCTTTCAAATCGGAACGTGTCACTGGTTCTTGGCGAAAATATAATATCCTACAATTGAGGTTTTGCTGACAAGTAAAACGAGCAAAAAAAATAGAGAGAACATTTAGTTTCAAAGAAGTATTAAGTTAAATTGTGGTGCAATTAAATATAGAAAATGTTAGAAAGAGAAAGAGAGTGTGTGTGTGTGTGTGTGAGAGAGAGAGAGTGAGTGTGTGTGTGTGAGAGAGAGAGTGAGTGTGTGAGTGTGTGAGAGAGAGAGAGAGAGAGAGAGTGAGTGAGTGTGTGAGAGAGAGAGAGAGAGAGTGAGTTAGTGTGTGTGAGAGAGAGAGAGAGAGTGAGTGTGTGAGAGAGAGAGAGAGCAACAGGCAGCGGCTTGGCTCTGCCCCTGGCATTGCTGAAGTCCATGGGCGACGGTAACCACTCACCATTAGGTGGGCCGTATGGTCGTCTGCCTACATGGGCAATAGAAAAAAAGAGACAGAGGAGAAAGAAAGAGAGAGAATTCTTTATAGTAACATCAGGTGGACAAGTATCTTGGGAAACGAATTTCAGGCGGTGTACCTATCGATTGAAATATACTTGGTCTGGCCATAAATACTGTTACAATTAAAAATAAACAAAATATTACATTTGAATTTGGAATCTGTCATTTTTATATGATTGCTCATTGAGTTTTCTCATTTTGGCGCCAATACATTGTACAATATTTTGCGATATTAAAATGGAGTGGGGTGATAAAGAGAACCGAATCGCTGTGATTGCATTACACAAAGTAGGTATGGAGCCNAAATACTGTTACAATTAAAAATAAACAAAATATTACATTTGAATTTGGAATCTGTCATTTTTATATGATTGCTCATTGAGTTTTCTCATTTTGGCGCCAATACATTGTACAATATTTTGCGATATTAAAATGGAGTGGGGTGATAAAGAGAACCGAATCGCTGTGATTGCATT